AAATGTTTTCCACGAAACAAACGGACCTTAGTTACAGTTTGGATTCGAATCTAACCATGCTTATCTCTATGTACAATATAGCTTCAAATTGGTCTCTCCTCTCGTAATGTTCGATACTGGTTGCTACTTACCGTACCATTTTGGTAGGGATGTGCAGAAGAACTTGGAGAATGTATGAAACTATCAAAACCAGCATGGTTGCTAGAAAAGCTTGTGGGTGATTATTAGAGGTCCCATAGTAGATTACAGATTTCAAAAGTTAGAAATCCACGAGTACATGATTGATTCTAAACTATGAGGCACTCAACACACAATGCAAGATACTGTGTAAAAATAAAATTTTCAAAGAAATCGATAAGGAGTGATGGAATGTACAGACATACAATATAATTAGTTATATTACAGTTTCAATGTCTTTTGCTATGATCGTAATAAAAGATTTGTGTAATGTTGTTGCACTTTCATTGACATGAGCATGTACTTTACGTCCTAACATACTGACTTTATTTATGTTAAACATGCGAGTGCACCAATTTGAAAGAACCCACATTGGATGGGCAGGACCTGAGATGTATTCATAAGCATTTTCAAATGATCACCATCTTATATGGCTATTTAGAGTATTCCTTTTGAGGACTTGACCAACATAGAATGGATTGGGGAAAATGACACAAATAGTCCCTGAACTTTGGCCCAATGTGCATTTTGGTCCATGAACTTTTAATTTGTTCAATGTAGTCCCTAAACTTTAATCTAATGTGCAATGTGGTCCCTGAACTTTTAATTTGTTCAATGTCATCCCTGAACTTTTGGTACATGTTCAATTCAGTCCCTGAACTATATGAAAATGTTCAATGCAGTCCTTTCCATTAATTCAAGTTCAGGGACTACATTGAACATTTTCATATAGTTCAGGGACTAAATTGAACATGTACCAAAAGTTCAGGGATGACATTGAACAAATTAAAAGTTCAGGGGCCACATTGAACATCAGCTTAAAGTTCAGGGACTATATTGAACAAATTAAAAGTTCAGGGATCAAATTGCACATTGGGCCAAAGTTCAGGGACTGTTTGTATCATTATCCCAATGGATTGGGACATTATAAATGCTAATTGAGCAGCACTCCCCAAGTAAATGTGCACTTCATGGATGGACTAGGGCTGCAAGCAATGCTACCCTGGTTCGATATGCTGTCCAATCCATTCCTGTACCCGCTGCCATTATGGAAGCCGGATGAAAGCTGCATACTTGTTTGAGCCCTCTTGCTCTATCAATCAACTCCATACCCTTGTCAGATTGGATATTGATAAGAACATCAGCCCCGTTACAATAGGTGTTTGTGACATCTTAAGTTTCACATTAAATGAGTAAAGCATCGTCATGTTAAGCATGTAAACAAATTCACCTCTAAATGGCCAACACCTTGTACTGTTACTTAGATGATTTCTTTTAGGAGCTTGACTCATGTGAAACTGGCTAGGTTGCACCAATTTACTAAAAATTAGGATTTTGATGAAAAAGAGAGAAATTTACATGACAGCCACAGTTTTAAGAAACTGTAAGGTGATGTTCAAGTTCCAATAACGTGAGATGGAATCTCCCATACAGCGACAGTGTACAAACTAGGGCCGTAAACGGTTCGGTTTTCTTGAAAAACCGAACCGAACCGAACCGTTAAGGGTGCCTCCTTGAACCGAACCAAATAGGAACCGAACCGAATTGGAACCGAACCGATAAGCCGATTTGGTTCGGTTTGGTTCGGTTTGGTTTTCGGTTTCTTCTTCTTTTTTGTTTTTTTTTTCTTTTTTATTCATGGCTCGGTTTTCTGTTTTTATGAAAAAAATTTCATGATAATTTTTTTATGATAATTTTTTTAAAATCCCTACATCGGCAAAAAAAAAAGAAACATTGTTAAGATTTCCGGATAAAAAAGGCTTAACCCAAAAAAAATAGAAAATTTCAGGAAATAAACAGATTAAAAAATAATAACAATAATAATAACAGTAATAATCGAATAATATAAAAAAATGCAACCGCACCACAAAATGACATTTTTTTCATTCTCGGTGAATTCCACCCGCAGAAAATTCACAAAAAGAGAAAAAAAAATAGAAAAAAAAATTAGAGAAAGAACACGACGCACACAGACACACACACACACACACCCCCCCTCTCTTTCTCTCTCTTCTTCTCTCCGAAAGGCCAAACTCGACCCCCAAATCCTCTCTCTCTCTCTCTCTCTCTCGAGATCTTCTTCTTCTTCTTGCCGACGAGCTCTCGGCTTCTTCGACCGCCGCATCCGCAAATTGAGCCGCCGTCCGCCGCTGATCGATTCGGAAACCCTCCCCGCCGGAGCGATCGCCGCCGCCGCCGCGTCAGCCATTTCGAGCCTTTTTTTCCCGGCGTAATTTATCATTTTTTTGGGAGATTTTTTTCGGGGAGTTTCTTGGAGAGCCATGGATTCTGATTCATGGGGTTTGATGATTTGGGGGGTTTTCCGCGTTTAGGGTTCGAGAGAGATGAGTGTCGTCACCGGCAACAGCGGCAGCGGCGGCGGCGGCGGCAGCGGCAAGGGCAGGGGCGGCAATGGCAAGGTCGAGGCTTGGGACTCGAGCAAGTCGATGGGGAGGAAGAAGAAGAAGAGCAGGGATGGCAGCGAGAGGAAGAGTGTGGAGGGCCGTGAGGATGGTCTCGGCGAGAGGAAGAGTGTTTATTTCAGTTCGGTTCGATCCGAACTGAAAAAAAAAATTGGTTAATTTTGATGATCTGAACCGAAACCGAAACCGAACTGAAATGCACGAAATTTTCGATTCGATTCGGTTCGATTCGTATCTCGATTCGATTTTCCGGTTCAGTTCTGAGACTCCTAGTACAAACTCATCCACAAGGGCGTCCACTTAACCACACTTTCAAACCTCTTTTTGTTGACCACATTCAACCCAACAAAATTAATTAAAAATCCCACAAAAAACTTCCTTTTTCTTCTGAGCTAATCCAACAAACATAATTCAGTTTCTGCTGGCACTAATTTTGATTTGTTAAGCAAAATTAGCTCACGATCCTAGACGGTCAATGTATGCCTCAAATTTGAATTAATCCTAATCTGCAGTTTAATCTATCTAATTGTTCTCAAACCAGCATACGAGATAGGACTCGATCAATCTCATAGCTTGATTTTTTTTTTTTGCCGTAAGTCCTCTATGGCTTATCAATCCCCAAAGGTGAGATATAAAATGAGGGAAATTCAATATGTATATTTAAAACAATAGCTGCCAGGCTAATCTATCCAATATTTGATGTGAATTACAAAATGCAATGAAAGTTAAATTACGGAAACTGCACTTCAGAATCCATGACCACGATAATAACTATTATATGTTTCGATGCACAGTTCAACCGTTGTACAAAGGAGACGAAATGTCTTCTTGTTTCTTCTCCTTCCATCGTCTTCTTCAACCTTCGGTCATGGAGAGATAGTTTGAGCCGGTCTCACTCTCCATTCTCTCTCTTGTTGATTTTGTTCGTGTTTTTATTATTTTTCCCTTATTTTTTCTCCTCTTATAATTTAGATATGGGAACTCCCTTCTTCTGATCTTATTCTAAATACGAGAGTTTGAACTATATCGATTTAGTTCTAGATCCGGGAGTTATCTTCTCCCGCTCTAGATCTGTAGTTTAATAAATGTACTTTTGGGGGATTCGATGCCCTCCGCTCTGTCCGTGTACAGATCTTCTTCTGCCCACAGTTTTCACGGTGATCGCAAAAACTCGAGCGTTTCGCCAAACCGCGATGATTTATTATTCCAAATGTTAGATGTATGCTTTTCGTCAGGTTTTGATTGTCTCCGAACGGTGATGATACAGAGGAAGCCGAACCCAGACATGCACCGCAAGTGCTCCCCGGAGACCATTAAATGTCCCCCTATTTAAGGAGGGGCGAATTGAAAAGAAAAAATGAGATGGAAGCATCTCAATAAATTTGACCGGCACTTACCACCAAAACCCCAACTGAATTTTTAACCTAAGCAACTCATTCAATGCAAAGAATCTATCCCCCCCCACCTCTCTCTCTCTGACGTCACGAGTTCACACCCTTTTTCTAGAGTGAGAAAGAGTGAATTAACCCACGTGAGGACAACCCTCATTGATAGATAGAGAGAGAGAGAGAGAGAGAGAGAGGGCGAGAGTGGTGCGTGCGCTTATCCACGTCAACCTCCAATCGCCTCCTCATTCCCAAAGTAGGCACTGGCAGGCCCACCCCCCCCCTCCTCTTTCTTCACGCACGCCTTGGCATTTTGCCCGAACTTCCACAACTGCCCCTCGGCGCCTCCCTCCTACCCTTACCGACCAAGGGCAATCCCGTCATCTCGCCCTCCCCACGAGCCCACGAGCCCGCCCGCCGACCCCCCCCCCGCGTTGGCAGCCGGGGAGCGCAGTCTCCCCCTCCCAACCAAAATCCCAACCCCCGCCCCTGCCCCTGCCCCCTCGCCGCGGGACTCGCCCCCCCGGAAACCACGTCGGACGCGAGGGCAGCACGGTCATTTCGCGCACGGAATTGCTGTCGGACCGACTCATTCCGAACGAATAAATTTGACGAAGGAAAATGACCACAAAAGAGAGGGGAACGTGAGTGATCCGCTCGAAAGCCCCCCAAAAAGGTGGCTGGCCGAAGGAGAGAGAGAGAGAGAGAGAGAGAGAAAAGGAGAGGGAGTTCGTTTGGAGACGTTATCGGACTCGAAAGCCCTCAACTCGCCGGAATTCAGAGCCCCTGTTCGCGTCCGCCCCCACTTTTACAGTGCGAGCGGAAGCAGTGCTTTGCCTACTCCTCTCGCCGGTCTCTCTCTCCTCCCCCCCGATTTCCAGAAGCCACGAAGCCAAGGTCGTCTCTCTCTCTGTGGACGCTAGGGCTCCGCCGTCGCCGCCGCCGCCGCCGCCGCTTCTCCCTTCTTGTGGAGGGGGGGAATTGGGGGATTTCCGGGGAGTTGATTGGGGGGGTTGGTAGGGTTTTTTTCTCTGTCTCCTGGGGGCGCGCGTGTCTCTCTCTCTCGCGTTCGCTTATATGAATTTGAAGCCGCGATCTGGTGAATTCGGCTCTGCTGTGGTCGTCGCGTCCTGATGTTCACCCCGCAGAGGAAGGTGTGGCCCGGGTGGGCCCTCTCCCCCCGGAGCCGGGCCCCCAGGGTCGGATCCGGGTCGGGTCCGGAGGACCCGGACCCGGACCCCGGCGCTGGTGGGAAGGGGAAGAGTATCGTTCCGGCCGAGCCCGTGACTCCTCCTCCTCCTCCTCCTGGTTCGAATGGGATGGTCACGGACGGGGGCGGTTCGGCGGGCGACGTTTCGCTGCTCGAGAAGGAGGTTGGTGTGGATAATTCTGGTTGTTTTCGCCTGTTGGTTTTTCGCTTCCTGCACTGGCTTGTGAGGGTTGAATTGAATTTCTTGCATTTGCTATTTTCATTGGTTCGCTGCGGTTATTCACCAATCTTGTCTAGTCTTGACGCGTGAAGAGCGTTCCTCACTATTTGAGAGATTGTTCCTTTGTGTTCTGTATTGTGAGCCACTGTTACGCCGTTCTTGATTCGGGATGAAAATGGTACTGTTTTCTGCTATGGTCATATGTGGGCATATTCTGCTAGGATGGTGCAGTGTTTTACATATATATGCTAGGGTGGTGCGTACCATTAGTTCTTCTCGAGTTAACCTAGTTTGCTAATCCTAGGGGAGTTTCGATACGGGACATTGGTCTTGTGGATACTAGTCCACCACCCATCTAGATGTCACGGACTCAAGTCCAACTAACTTCAAGGTATAACAAGCTCTGAATCTGACTGTCAAACTGTCAACTAGGGCAATCTTAATTCTCATCCAACTCGGAGATGTAATAATCTAGGAATTCATAGTGGATTTGTGGTAAGCTCAGTCGGTCATAGGAGTAGAAAACGGGTGAGGAATGTCAGTTACTTGATGAGAATGAAGATTGTTGAAGCAATGTCATAAATGACAAGGAAGCTTTTGTCTGGGGAATGGGGTGCCAATAGGTTTTTAAAAAAAATGGATTTTGTATCTGCGGCCATGTTGAGCTTTCCTCCCAAATCAGTGAGAGAGGGATGGAGGGATGGCACGGAGGGTCTTTGATAGATCTATTTGTTCAGAAATTAATATCCTTGATTAGATGTAAAAGGAACAAGTTCCTTAAGTACATGCAATTTGACTGGAGTAGTGAAAATTAATTGAATAGTATAATTGGCATCTCCATAGAAGGGACTTTGCAGTTAGCCATGGGGTCCATTGCGTGAGAAATTGATTGCTTTAGAGAATATGTTTGTGTAGATAAATAATGCTTGGTTGTAAGGGGAGGTTACATGTGAAAACAGCCACCTTTGGTCGTGTACTAAAACAAGATTTACTGTGAACATCATCTGAACTGAGCGAACTTAAGTTTCTTTTTCAACTCAGTTGTTGAATTTTATATAAAATTCAGTTCTATGTCAATTTACTGCGACCTTTGATTTAAATTTCTAGCCATTCTATGTCTATTTTTACATATTCTCTTGGTTTAAAAGCGATGATAAGCCATGAAAGTTATGGTGTGTAGCACGTGGAAATGCACTAATTATGGCATCATTCATGGAGGATTCATCCTGTGAATTTGTGTTTACATCTTGTCAATTTCTTATACTGCTCATCTGTAATCAGCGCATGTTGCTCTAGTTCCATGTCTTTAGCCTTTCTAATTGTTTTACTTTGGGAATGCATTAATGTCGAAAACCCTTTCCATTTCCTGATCTTTGGCCAGCTTTTCGAGTACCAATATAATATGGGACTTCTGTTGATTGAGAAAAAAGAATGGGCTCTCAAGCATGAAGAGCTAAGACGAGCATTGGAGGAAATAAAGGATGCTCTCAAACGCGAGCAAGTGGCTCATTTGATTGCTATGTCAGATGTTGAAAAACGAGAAGATAACTTGAGAAAAGCTCTTGGTGTTGAGAAGCAGTGCGTGAGTGATGTAAGATCTCCATTGTAAAATTACTTTACCCTTTCTTTTCAGTCCAAAAAATGTATGTTTTAAGTTTTTCTATGTCTATGATTGCAAAATAGATGGCATTAGTTCAGGGGCGATGCTAGCGAGCATTTTTACTTGCAGCCCTTTGTTTCACTTGATTGCCTCAAAATCGCAAACTCAATGTCAAGAGTTATGGTGCTTTTCTTAAATAATTCCCCTCTTTGCTGTGGGTGGGAATCTACCTAAATTGGACAACCTCTTACTAGTTGGTTTCACAAAAGCTACTTTGATGTAGCATAGGACAATATTTCTTTGTCTCTTTTCTACTTTGAAGATGTTATCCTTTTCTCTTAATATAAGAGATATCATCAGCATGTGGCCTTCAAAATATGGATTTCGATATCCTCCCCTCAATTTCCAGTTTAAAAACAGATGCATATTGTGTTGTAGTTGCACTTTGATTATCTAATTGACGATAATTTAGTTATTGTATTTGTGTCAGTATCTTGAAGTCATCTCACCCTTTTATATATTTATTTATGAAACATAAAAGCGAATGGGCCTGCAACATGTACATGATTGCTTTTATCATCTGTTTCCTTAAACAAAGATATTTGTACTTCTTTCAAGTTTGCCTGGAATGTAATTGAATAGCCACAATATCAATATTTACATAACTCTAGCTGTCCGTATATGAAATTTAATTTATAGCATCATTTGGATGGTGAACTTTACAAATTAACAATGTACAAGAGGAAGGATCGGATGTAGTTTCACATGCAAAATATCTTTGTTCATTTACAACTTACAACTCAGTTTAAGCTGGGAGTTTTTAATGCCTCGAACTTTGTATTTGTCGAAGTGACTAGAAAAAATTATAAAATAGCATTTAAATATGGTAGGAAGGTTTGTGTGATGGTTAGCATTTGCATACAATGATGAAAAAGCAATCATGCATGTGTCAAGGCTAGTATTAGATGAAGAAAATGGTTTGTATGTCTGATACCCAGGTTTTCTTTGTTAAAAATCACGTCTTCCGCCACCCCACCCCACCCCACCTCCAAAGTGGGCAGAACTCTTAATGGTAGTGAGATTACCTTACATGTACTTGGTTATCCTCTTTCTTGTGTGATGGATGACGTTAGAAAGAAATTACCTGGTAATTATTATTCCTTATCTTGGGAATGTTGGTTGCAGCTGGAGAAGTCATTGCGTGAGATGCGTGCAGAATATGCTGAAATTAAATTTACAGCCGATTCAAAATTAGCCGAAGCAAATGCTTTGGCTGCAAGCATTGAGGAAAAATCTCTAGAAGTAGAGGCTAAGTTTCACGCTGCGGATGCCAAACTTGCTGAAATAAGCCGAAAGAACTCTGAAATCGAGAGGAAGTCGCAAGACGTGGATGCTAGAGGAGCTTCTCTTCGAAGGGAACGGTTATCATTCATTACAGAGTATGTCCAAAGCATTTGCCTTGCTAATTTCACATGGTTCATTGTAGCTATTTAGTCTGTGGTTGTAGCTCTGGCCATTTAATGTTGTACATACTGTTGTCTTCTTCGATAAATGAGCTCGTTGTGAATTTTCTCAGGCGTGAAGTATATGAAACCACTTTGTCCAAGCAGAGGGAGGACTTGCAAGAATGGGAAAGAAAATTGTGTGACGGAGAGGAAAGGTTGGGAGATAGATTTAGGGTTCTGAACCAAAGAGAGGAGATGGCAAATGAGAAGGACAAGATATATAAGCAAAAAGAGAAAGATCTTGAGGAAGCACAAAAGACGATAGATGAAGCTAATCTAACATTGTCAAGAAAGGAAGAGGATATGAGCAGCAGGCTGGCGAATTTAAAGTTGAAAGAGAAGGCAAGCCTTTCTGATACCGATCACTTAAGATATCGACAATGGGATTGTTCTAATCTAACGTATACTTTTGGCTGCAGGAATTTGAAACATTGAGAAAGAACCTAGAAATTAAAGAGAAGGAGTTGGTTGCTACAGAAGAAAAGCTCAATGCCAGAGAAAGAGTAAGTTCTTGAAATTTGGAGATTTGCATTTACCTAGTATTTGCTGGTAAATAGATGTCGTGATGACTTGCCCATCATGGGAGTAACACGAGGATAATATGTTCTAAATAAAACTTTTTGCGGTGCGGTTTTGTTCTTCTGTTATCTATCTATTAACAGTCAGGCTGTGGTGCTTTATAATGTTGAGTCACTGCGCACGACCAGATTTTCTACCTCGCCAGTATCGACTCCCCCCTCCTTGCCTGTACTCCCCAAAACAAAAATAAATTAAATGGAAACTCTGTTTATTATGGTGTGATGTGATGGGCTCAATCAGTCTTGTCGGACTTACAGTGACCTGCATGTCATGGTAAAGATATGCTAGAAAATTTTTTCCTACTGGAGTACTCTTTATCAGTCACTTTAATCATCAAATCTCTGTAGCGATTTAAATTATCTTCTAAACATTCTTAAGATTTGACGCTCTTTGTGCTTGGTCCTTTTCAGGATGAAATTCAAAAGCTTCTTGATGAGCATGCTCGTGCTTTAGATGTGAAGAAAAATGAATTTGAGTCGGAACTTGAGCAAAAGAGGAAAAAATTCGACGAGGACTTAGAAAGAAAAGGATTCGACGTACAGAAGAAGGAAGCTGAAATTAAGCACAAAGAGGATAAACTTGTGAAAAGAGAACAAGCAGTGGAGAAGAAAACCGAAAAGCTCAAGGAGAAAGAGGATGACCTGCAATTGAAGTTGAAAGATCTTAAGGAAAGGGAGAAATCTCTCAAGTCTGAGGAAAAGAATTTGGAGAATCAGAAGAAATCGGTCGATGTGGAGAAAGAAGAGTTGCTTAGCCTTAGGGCTGCTCTTGAGAAGATAAGAACGGAAAATGAAGAACAGCTGGTGAAGATCCGCATGGAGAAGGATCAACTTAAAGTGAGTGAAGAAGAAAGGTCAGAATTTGTGCGTTTGCAGTCTGAATTGAAGGAAGAGAGAGAGAACTGCAGGCTTCAAAAGGAGCTTCTTTTGAAGGAAGCTGAGGACTTGAAGCAGCAAAAGGAAGCTTTTGAGAAGGAGTGGGATGAGCTTGATGAGAAAAGGACTCAGATTGAGAAAGAAAGGATGGATGCAGAGCGACAAAAAGAAAAATTTGAAAAGCTCAAACATAGTGAGGAGGAAAAATTACAAAGGGACAGGATGGAGACGGATGATTACATAAAAAGGGAGCTGGAAGATCTTAAACTGGATAAAGGATCGTTTGAAGCCAGAATGGAGCATGAGAATTCAGTTCTTGCTGAGAAGGTGGAAAGTGAGAGGAGTCAAATGCTTCGTGATTTTGAACTTCAGAAAAAGGAGCTTGAGACTAATATGCAGAATAAATGGGATGAGATGGAAAATAATTTGCTTGGTAGAATAAAGTCATTCGAGGAAGAAAAGGAGAGAGAACTAAACAATATTAACAACCTAAGAGAAGTAGCCAGAAGAGAAATGCAAGACATGAAACAGGAACGAGCAGAATTGCAAAAGGAAAGGGAAGAATTTACTGCAAATAAGAAGCATCTGGAGGATCAACAAGTTGAAATAAGGAAAGACATTGATCAGCTTGTTGCACTTAGCAAAAAGTTGAAGGACCAGAGAGAGAAATTTATTGAGGAGAGAGATCGCTTTATTTCTTTTGCTAAGCAGCAGAGTAGCTGCAACACATGTGGGGAACTTACTCGCGAATTTCTGCTTTCCGATCTACAATGTATATCTGAGATTGAGAATGCTGAGCTTTCTCAGTCAAAGTTGGCCGAGGCTTACGTAAAGGAAGAGGCAAATATGACCTTTAATGCTTCTGGAAGGCCAAATACCGATACATCTCCAAATTTAGTTGGATCAAGAACGCCTCTCTCCACTGGAACTGTGTCTTGGCTACGAAAATGCACAACTAAGATATTTAGCTTCTCCCCTGGCAGAAAAACTGATTCCCATCCAGTTCAAGATTTGACTCAAGAGGGACGTATGCAGGGTGATCATGTAAATGTCGAAGACCCTTCCAAAGCATATGCTGAAAATGATGCTGAGCTCTCTATTGCGGTAGCAAGTGCTTCTTTTGATGTCGAGGAGCATCAGAGGGAGGATGAAGCTGGTCAAGATATTTCATATGATAGCAATGTCAACAGTAAGAGACAAGAAGTTGCTGAAGATTCTCAGCCTTCTGATTTAAACAATGGTGTCCACCAGCCTCGCAAGAGGGGCAGAGCAAGGGTTAACAGGACGCGTACTATGAAAGAAGTTGTCAAAGATGCTAAAACTATACTTGGGAAAGGTTTTGGTTCAAATGAAACCGAGCAGGAGAATGGAAATGCGGAGGACTCTGCTCCTACAAATGCTGACAGTCGGGATGAACCCAGTCTTGCTGACAAAGGAAGACCAAGAAATGTCCGCAAAAGGGGTCGTGATAATGCCACAGGGAGCGAGCATGATGCTGATGACACTGAAGGACATTCTGACAGTGTGAGGATGGGCCAGCGAGGGAAAAGGCGGCAAAGAAATGCTGCTTCTGTTCAAGCTACGGGTGAACAGCGATATAATCTCCGAAGGCCCAAAGGGTGTGTTTCTGATTCTGGTGTTTTCTGTATGTATTTGTGGCTCTTTTAATACATGTTGCTATGAACATGTGACGGCGGAATATATTTTTGCAGCTCAATGTACTATCACATGATGTTATCTTAGAGATTGGTGGTTGAAACATACTCAAGATCACTTTGTCGATTGTTTATTTTTGATTATCAGTTTTCTCATGCTGCTATAACAGTGGTATGTGTTTGTGCATTTTGACATTACAGCTGTTTCTCTTATTGTTTGACAGTGGGGTCAAGACCACTGCACCTGGCGTGTCAAATGACCTGAATAAGGGCAATAAGAAAGCAGCTGGTGGAGAAGGTGCAGAGGAGGAAATTCACTATGCCAAAGCTGCTCCTGCACTTTCTGTTACAGTTGCTAGTGAAAATGGTGGAAGTACACACTTTGTGCGTGTAAGTAATTGGTTCTCAAGTCATTTGTTATGATTTTTGTGAATTATGTTGAGTTGCTGTTCACTCTGCGTGTCTTAATAATTGTTTGGCTCTAGGAAAGCATATTTATGTCTTGTCATTATGCAGTGTGGCTCATTGGTGGATACACAGGATGGAGATGCCGATGGAACAAAGGAGATAGTCGAGCATATGGCATTGAGTGAGGAGGTGAATGGGACACCTGATAAGGGGGACAAACATGACAATGGGAGCGAGTCCCTAGGAGTTGATGCTGCCGCACTCGATGAAGACGGGGATGACGATGAATGTGAGAACGAGCACCCAGGCGAAGTCTCTATAGGGAAGAAACTGTGGAACTTTCTCACAACCTAATCTGGTAGGATCATTTTCCGGTCTCGGGAAGAAACCCCCGGGTGGCAGTGTGGCCCCATCAGCTTCTTTAGATAACGCTGCTGGAGCTTCCCTGATGTGTAGTAGCCATTTATGTTAGTTCAGCACATAAAGCTTTTTTCTAGGTTTGGGGAGGAAAGGTTTGGCGCCCCTTTCATTTAGAAGGTTTCGGGCTTTGATATTTTGACCATTTTTTTCTTTTTGTTTAGGTGATCTATTGGCAGTGTTAATAATACTGCATGTCATGATGCTCTTTGGTCTCTGGTTTCTAAATTGTTTGTATCAAATACCTGTAATTTTTCTCTATTCCCGTCGGCAGTGTGTAAAACCCGTGGATTTAATTTTTTTTCTTTTGTCCCCGTGTGCTATGTTGTTACCCCCAAGAACCTGCATTGCGCAGTCTCGATTGCTGATCATGAGTAATGACTTTTCAAACGAGACGTTAGCTTTGCTAGTCCACTGCACTGTAAGGCGAGATAGGTATAGAAAGGGTTATTGCAGGATGTGTTGCATGATGTTTCTCTCTTTACGTTCTAGCTCAGAGGTGGAAGGTGTCTACGATTTGAGATCGTTTATTTCACTGCTGTAAGAGTTTGTGTTAGGCAATAATGCGTGCTATTGAGTCAACAGGCTCTCCGGATGCACTTGAAAGAAGTGTTCTCACAACCTTTCACCATCAAACGAATTATGGGTTATCTCTCGTTAGTGGGTATTGCTTACCTCAAGCCTGTTTGGTGTGCTGCGTGGTACTTTTGAACTCATTTATGACTCCTTATAACATTTCTTTGGAGCTTGGGAATGATAACATTTTAAAAGTCGAACGATTGCAAAAAGTTATATACGACTTTGAATATTGATTTTGAATATTGGAATGAGCTGGAGGTGTTTATAGTTAAAAAAAAGTCAAATAGGACAAGTTGTAAAATTTCTAAAAGTAATGGTTATAGGCCCAGGAGTGGAGCCAATGCACCGAGAAAATGAATGTGAGCCAATCTGTGGACCCCTTGTAGTTGTCTTCAACCCTTAGGTTGTGTTTGGTGAATTAGATATTCTGTATTCCGGTTAAGAGAAGTTTAATCCTATCCGGTATTCGGTATTTGGTTCTGGATATAGTTTGGTTATGATTCGGATAAGAAAATCCTACCTAGGGGCGGGACTCACCCGAATATAGTTTTTACTATCCTGGAAAAAAAAGCAAAAAAAAAAGAGGAAAAAAAAAGCGAATCAAATCGTGGAAGAGAGAGGGTGGAAGGTGAAAGATTGGTGGGCGTCACTATGAACAACACACACAATCGCAGTGGTGTTTGTCTCAACTAGGACTATAACGACGGTGATCATCATAATTCGCGAGCACGGCGACTACCGTCGCCTTCTCTCTCTCTCTCTCTCTCTCTCTCTCTCTCTCTCTCTCTCTCTCTCTCTCTCTCTCTCTCTCTCTCTCTCTCTCTCTCTCTCTCTCTCTACATGTGCAATTTGTTGGCTTTGGTCGAACAATTGTGCTGCTCTTACGACCACCGCGAGGCTATTGGCTTGGCCGAGGTCCTTCCCTTGGTTTAGCTTGCTCCAAATTTGATATGTAGTTCTATAACTGGCAACGGCAGCTGTCCGCTTGGCTAAGGTCCTTCCCTTGATTTGCTCCAAATCTACCATGTATCTCTGAAATTGGCAATGGCGATCACACAATAATCTCACACCGCTGCGTTAAGATTGCTGTCCCCTAACGACCCGATGGAAGTCACATGATCAAAAGTGGTCCCACGAGCTTGGGAAGTGTCAGTTTGACATTGTTTACAACCCATGCCTCTCGTTTTGTTTTTCTCTTCAAATCTCAATTTAATCTAGTTCTATACATGTATACCAAACGCTCAATCAGGTAATGTACATTACTATCCATGCTATATCCAAATATTTACTAAACGATGCTTAGGATAATACTAATAAGGGAAAATGACATAAACAGTCCTTGAACTATTGCACAATGTGCAATTTGATTCTTGAACTTTTAATTTGTTCAATGTAGTCTCTGAACTTTAGCTTAATGTTCAATGTGGTTCCTGCACTTTTGATTTGTTCAATGCGGTTCCTGAACTTTTGGTACATGTTCAATTTAGTCCCTGAACGATATGAAAATGTTCAATTTAGTCTATATTGAATAAATTAAAAGTTCAGGGACTAAATTGTACATTGAATTAAAGTTCATGGACTTTTTTTTGTCATTATCCCTACTAATAATATCCTATCCTTATTCTATTAAGCAAAGATATCTAGACGATCAAACGCAGGCTTAATGTCTATACAAACTTGCACATGCTTGGTTGATTTGTGTACGGTTTCGTTGAAAAGAAACTAGGAGCTTTGTGAGAGATACAAAGTTAGTGACTTTAAATACTCATTTTTGCAGACATGATATATCATGAATCAAATTCAGTTTCTGAGGGATAATGGTCCAAAAAGTCTTAAACCTATTGTACGGGAGGGCAATTCAGTTATAAACCTTTCCATTATGCTAATTTAGTCCTATATTGGCAAATCATCAAAAGGTTTTGAACTATATTGACACAATTAAAAGATTTGACTGAATTGCCCTCCGTACAATAAGGTTAAGACTTTTAGGATAATGTTTCCCAGTTTCTGACGTCTGCACCATGCGATTTTTCTCCATAATAATATCGTGGCATGTAAAAAAATAGCCGTTACATTTTAAAAAAAATAGACGTTACAGCTTATGGCTGTACGGACAAGAAAAGTTCAAAATCCGTGGACCTTGCATTCCGTGTTTCTCGGGTAATGGGGATTTATCGTAGTTGTTTCCTTTGTCGTTGACTTGATTTTATCTGTTTCCTCCACGAAGTGGATATTAACATTGATGCGATTTATTTGGCTCACTTATGTAATTTAAAAAAATATATATTTTTTCAATTATTTCAAAGATCTCCAATCAACCCGTCCAAGACCAATTATTTATCTTCCTCTCTTTTCTTTATTCAAAGTAAAACCAGTGAAGAGAGGCTACCGACATAACTTCCCCTTTTGGCGTCCTCACAATCGTTATGAAGTGTTCGGTTTGAGATGTAATTACGTAAATCTATCTAGTAATTAAAGGACCGAGATTGACGACGCTATTATCGTAGCCTCACGGGCATGCCCAAAACGAGAAGTCTTGAAGACACAGATGAGCCAGAGATTCGCTAATGACATAGCTCGAATTTGTTACCTCGTAAAAAGAAAGTGACCTCTTCGTCATTAGATTATTGCAATTGATGTCGGGGCAATTGGATTGTGTTCAAATGGGGAGGGATACATCTTTCTATGCGATTGATACATAGCAATCGATTGATTGCTTTTTTTTTTTTGTTAGACCATGGAGTTGTTGCTAAAGTGGACCACCAAGGTGGTAGCTGGTTCATGTAATGGCTTACTGTCGAAGGTTTTTTGCTATAGATGGCTTGAAATTAGAATACTGTTCGAGTTCGGAATTTAACTCTAAGCAAATCCACATCGAAAGCGGCTCATATCCCGCTCGTACGGGTCGTGGTGACGGGCTGACCCCTCCTAAGAAGATCTCTCCGGAGATAAATCTAGGGTTCTAATGCACAACGACGTGACTTTGGAGGTGGCGGACTCGCAAATCGAACATTTTGCGATTGGGCGCGTGTGAACCATGGAGCTCTTAGGGAAAAGTGTCAAAAAGTCCTAAACCTTTGATATTGGTGCCACTTTAGTCCTAAACATTTTTTTAGTGTCAATTCAGTCCTAAACCTTTGCATTTGTGCCAATTTAGTCTTAAACCTTTTTTTGGTGGCAATTCAGTCCTAAACCTTTTGCGTTAGTGCCAATTCAATCCTAAACATTTTGCATTAATGCCAATTCAGTCCTAAACCTTTTGTCTTTGTGCCAATTCAATCCTTCCGGCCAATTAGCACCGAAAAAAGGTTTAGGACTGAATTGGCACAAATGCAAAAGGTTTAGGACTTTTTTAACACTTTTCCCGAGCTCCTATGATTATGCTTGAGAGAGGTACCTATGTTGGTCGTAGTCGTTGCTAACGGGAACTTCAAATTGGCAGGAATATTTTAATTTGAATGACACCCCCTCGAGTTTTTGACAATCACGGAAACACCTTGTAATTTCATATTACTTCCAATTTAACACATCGGAGTATGTTATTGACAATGGGAGAGACGGTAAATGTGATCACCCTAGGATGCAATAATCTAATTAGCACCACCTAGGCTTATTGTTGAAGTATATTTATGGGTATCACAAAATTTTGTGTGAGAAAATATTGTCTAAGTCTTATATATTAAGGATGTTATTTGATATTTCGTTATTTCCTAATATAGCTAGCTCTCTTGTTAGATTAAAATAACTAATTTTTTTTGTTAGAATTGGTTGCTTCTTATCCTATATTTTTATTTAGTTATAAATATCTGCCGATTGTAACATATTAGAAAGTCGAAGTTATTGGGTATTTTTTCTTTTCCGTCTTCCTCGAAGATCCCACCAAGAGAGAGGTACTCAAATCAAAACCCTAGCTTTAGCTTTCTATGGCGTCGTAGTGCTCAAATGTAAAAACACCTCATCTTCAGCTCAATTTTAGTCAACACTCAACAATGCCTAACATGGATGTTATTCGTAGCGCGACTCTCTTTCAATTGCGAGCGTCATGAACGAGCGAAGTTGCTGCTTAGTGTCCAGACAGGTGTGAGCATCGGAGTCGAGCACGCCTTCATCGAGCAGCCAAAGTTGATAGGTGTGGGGTGATGCAGTTTAGTTTGACGAAATTCAAGTTAGGCCCGCTACACGATTTTTATCATGGTTGTGTAAGAAAGATGTGTTAACTTTATGATCATGCGTTTCTTTAGCACTAGTCAAATTAAGTGACGATATGAATTACGTTCAATTTGTTCGTGCAGGGTCCGGCTTACATGATTCTCTCTGTTTAAATCCGGTTTGACAAATCCACATCAGTTATCTAGTATAAGGTCCGGTTTACACACAACGTTTTCGTCGTGATCTATGGAAGAAAGTTGCAGAGTCATACACAAACCGAATGCTCCAGCTTAAATGGGAGTGCTTATGGACATTAGATAATTCTCCATTGGATAATGTCACAAGAGATATTACTAGATATTGGGAATATTATCCGATGTTGTTGTGTTAATCTCGTAGACTAGCTAGTTTCCTTATTAGATCAAGATGGTTGATTTCCTTTTAAACCATTGAGGCCTAGTTGCATCACCACTTTGGCTCATCACTAGAGGTTATAATAATAAATATGAAACAAGTCTCTCGCAAATTTATTGTTTACGTGCGAATCCTTTCCACGCATTTTGTAATTTCGATAGCGTTATTTATTCTCAAGATAACGACATATGTTGTTCGAAATACGTATGATCGAAACGCAACTATCGAGATATATCTTTATCTCCGAACAAATTAATGAGGAGGCACGTATACATGTCACGTCGATGTAGCTTTCAAGCGAATTCCAAAAAGATAAAAAAGAAAAGAGAATTGTTTTTCCTCTTCGAGCAGCTCAACTCCAATTCTTGAGAAATCATTACACGAGTGCCGAAAACGGCGAATGGCACGCGAGTCTCAAACAAATCCCGTAAAGCTCTCCCGGTTCAAATCTACTCGGTACGCATAATTAAGCTCGAGCCGGACAAGTCCTCCCGACCATCTCGAACCGCCCCCCGGATCGTCGACCGCGAGACCGGGGCACAGGACACCCCCGCCGCGCGCAGCGGGCCCGGCAAGGTCCGACGGTTCGAATCCACCCGGGCACGCGAAGGCGGCCGCCGCCGCCGGCGGATAATTTCTCCCGATCATCTCGAACCGCCCCCGGATCCTCGACGACTACTACTACTTCTTCGAGATCATCATTTGGACACACGACACACAATGGACTCCACCTCGGACAAGGAAAGAGGGTTCGGCCTCGTCTTCAAAGAAGGGGGAAAAAAAGAAAAGAGAGAAAAAGAAAAGGGAAATCTCTCCCGACTTCGCAAGAAAACGATATTTGCCGCCAAAAAAAAACACCACAAGAACTCCGAAAACTTTCCTGTTCTTCCCCCCCCCCCCCTACCCACACCTCGTTTCCCTAAATTCGCCGCCTCTCTCCCCTCTACTCCCCGAATTAGGGCACGATTCGCTTCGATCGCTCCCCGGGGAAGCGGTCCCCCCTCGTCCCGCGTGAGTCCTCCCTCCATTCCTCTCTCTCTCTCTCTCTCGCTCTCTCTCGCGCGCGCGCGCGCTGTGCGTGTGTGCGTGCGCGTGTATCTCTGTGTCTGCCTGCGTTGCGTTGTGTTTGTTTTGGATTTGCGGTGCGCGTTCTTGATGCTTGGGACAATGCGGGTTCGCGAGCTTCGTGTTTTTGATCGTGCCGTTCGAGGAGGGAGGGGGGGTGGATCGGATGGGTGGGATGGGGGCGGGGAGTGTGCTTGTTGTTTGTTCCTTCCTTGTTTTTTTTTTGGGGTTTTTTGATCGAACCCAGCTGAGTTTAGGACTCGGTTGACGCGCGGGGTTTTGAATCCGTTCGAAAGATGTGAGCTTGGGCCCGAAAGTTTTGATCTTGAGGGGGCGGAATCTTTTGGCGTCGGTGGCTTCCGCGAGGTTCGAGAGATTAGGCGTCGTGCTCTTGCGGAAGCTCCTTTGTTTGCCCATTGAGAGGAGGGTCGATGGTAGGGAGTTTGATCGGGATGGAGCCTCGTGTGGGGTAAGCCTGAAGAGAGAAGTGCTTGTGAGTCGTCACAAAGTTATGGGCTAGGGATGAATTGATGCCTTAGTTATTACGGTTCGTGGAATGTGCAATTATGGTTTTCAGTGTGGGTAATGTTCCGATGGACATAGTTAGAGTTTTCCTTTTTCAAGATATGTTTTGGTTATTTAGCCACTCTCTCTTAGTTCTTTTGTCTCTTTAATCAGAATGTTGCCTGGATTTTTTGACATCAACTGACTGAAGATGTAGATAGGAGAAACGTCGCCGTGGTAAACTGAAAAACCTTTGCAGTGGATATTTCATGAAATGTTACATGTCGCATTTTTGGCCCCTCTCCAATAGTGCAAAAAAGTACCCGATTCGCTGATGGGAAGGAATAGTTCCTTTCACCGGTTCTTTCTGGGAGAAGGAAAACATAAAGCTCTCTTTTTTAAATTTTATATCATAGTAATCCCATTGATGCTCTGTTTGACGTGTCCAGTCCTCATGCCCCCATCATCACCCTGGAAGATGACACACCGTGGTTCTGTGTACTGTCTCACGATGAATGTTGCTTTCAAAAGAAACTGAATGGGAAATTGTGAAAATCAAAATATGAAGGAACATATTGTATTGGGTGGTTTTCCTTTGAATTGATATAATACGGAGTATATCTGTTGTGAACATCAGAGTCTCAAGGTGCAAAAAAAAACGAGAGATGGAATGTTGTTAAAACATGAGCCTTTAGATGTCATTATTCTGTCTGTCCATTGATCAGTAGGGTAGAAGTTTGTGTCACTCTCAGAATCCCAGAGATGAGAAAAATGGAAAGGCTATTTTGTGTCTGTCAAGATTGAGGGAAATGCTTTGGGACCCTCAATATAAAAAAAAGGGAATGCACACCAAACACTTTACTGCATGTGTATGGATACATGAAAATGTACGGTTACAAATGACTTGATTAAGTAGGATGTTGATGTTTTGCTGCTGTCAAAGATTAGATGAGGGATTTTTGTTTAAGGTATTTTTAGACATGTAACCTGCTACCACCTGTGGAATTCCTTAAGTAAATGCTGCTTTTTGAATGTGCTTCTTCTCAAACAAGTGAAGAGGTCAAAATAGGAAGCATATTTTTAATGGAAGGTTTCACAGATTAAAGTCTTCTAGAAGGTTAAGCACAAAAAAACAAAAACATATAGCTGGATTGAATCCCACATAGTAAAGAAAAGGTTAGCTGCTGGCATCATTTTGTCTTTTCAATCTTCAATATATTTTATAATTATTTTAAACACTCATCATGATGAAGGTGTCGATGTACTTTTTAGTTGTTACTACGCATATGTTTCCCCCCCTAATGCAAATGGTTGAAATGAGACGACTAATGTTGGTTGGCTTGATCCCATTTAAATGTCATAACTACTTTTAAGATATATATTTTCCAATTTGCAGTGTGAGATACTCAAAGTAATTGTAAATGCTGGGAAAAGGGTATGTGCATGGTCAAAGTTTTGGCCAGAACTGGAACAGTTTCTTCCCTAACAGCTTCTTGCAGTCAAGAGGCAATGTTCGACCCCGAGGCTTTGCAAGAAGTACCTTCAGAGACTGGCGTAAAAATCCTCAAATCGGTTGCTGTCGTGATCTGATTAGAAGGAGAATGTAAGTTTCCCAATCGAAATGTTTGTTGTATTATTTTAATTTTCTCTCTAATTTTAAATCTCTGGAATTCGAACCCTTTGAGGAAAGGTTTTCATAACTGCTAAGGACTGATCAAATGCTCCTGCAGAATGGAAGCTTTCCCATGGATCATGAACGTAAGACAGGACTGGGAATCACTGGCGGTAGGCCTTGCAAATGATCTGGAGGAGAATTTGTTCATGGAGTCTGCTTCTGAGGTTGGTTTTAAGTTTTTACCAGCTGGAAAGGGAGTTTCAGTTCTCGTTTCATTTAAAATTATTTTTGTTGGTTTCAATGGCCTACGTCTCGTAATTACACCTACATGGTATGCATGTGATCCAGCAAGTGCAGGTACATTTTCATAAGCCTCAGCAGGCTGGTATGGGTGAACATCTGGAGCCCCCCTCCCTACCTCTTTTTCTGCTTTGTTGGGGCTGGTGGTTGTCGTTTGGGGTTGCACATGTGCACAAGATGGATAGTTATACTTTCAGTTGATTCACAAAGTTCATTTAGTTCATAGTTCATTTAATGGATTCTCATTTTGCAAACGGTTATTAGGTCGAGTATATGAACCTGGAGACTCTCAATATTCGGTTGGAGATATTGCTTTCTCGAATGATTGACAAATCAAATGCCACCGAAAGATTGGATGAAAGTGCAACTTCCTCATTCCCCATGTCCAGCATTATGCCAAGTGCAGGTTCATTTGCTAGAGGCAACTCAAATGCACCCCATGCTCCTTCAAGTGACTTAAACAACCGTAATGTTGCTTATGATGCGGTCTTGGACCGGTATTTCTCATCAGGAGGTGCAGTTGGGCTTCAGAATGTGAACTTACCTGAGCAATCAGGTGAATCCTTTTACGTTAACCTATAGAGGAGTATTGATCTTCAATTGATTAACTAATAAAGGAAGTGATTTTTTTCTTTAGGATCTGTTGGTGTAGACCGGCAAGGAATTGATAAAGTGCTTATTGGCTCCAACAATGGGCCAATGCATTTTCCAGCTGCTGCAGCCGACACTGTCTCCTTGATCAAGGAAACTTCAAGCAGCTCGATCTACTTGGATAATATTTCCCGTAACGCTGCTGCTTATGGTGGATCGGTCTTTCCTCATGTTAGCTCGCAGTGTTGCAATGAGGCTTTATTTAAAGATTATTGCATGGAGAAACAATTTAGCTTTCAGCAGAACTTGCAAGTATACAATTATAATCATGTGAAGCCTGTTAATCCATCGGAGTCAGAGGTCCCTTCTGACAGTCTTGTGCTTGATTACTTTACCCGATCCTCTCAGGCATCAGAGCCTCGACTTCTTGAGCTCCCTTCATACCAATTACCATCTTCTTTTCCTTTGAAAGGCGCTTTGCCATCTTCATCTGAAACTGCTACTAATGCCGAGTCAAGTTATCCGGCACACTTCCATGCTCGTCAATGTATTGATTGCTGTTCCGGAGGCCTACATGTGCAATCAGCTGTTTACAGTCGGCCAATATCCGGATCCCCAGAAATAGCGCCTCCCTGCCCAAAACGTCAGAAGATGGATGTTCTTTCTTGTTTCTCTTCATCTAAGGTGGGAAGTTCTTGTGTACTTGATCCAGTAATGGCTCAAGACTATGCTTCTGGAAGACTTCCAGGCTTGCAGCACTTGCCTGAATCTCCCATATCTTTTCAAAAAGTAATGGTGCTTGGAACTAAACCAAGTACAATTCCCTCTGCAGATACACAGACCACTTTTGAAACTATTAAGAATCTCTTGCATCGTCCTTTTGTGCCAAATATAGAAATTCATGATAGTCCATCAGAAGAACTCCTGAATACTTCTGTTGTGGAAGACTTGGACCCCGTTGACATTGATTCGACTGTCGCTGATCATTCAGTTGACTCTGTTGGTTTAAGGTCCAGCAGTCCGCACACTGTCTTTGAAGAGCATAGAGCTGGTACTAAGGAGGTGGGACATGATTTGGGTGAGGAAAATAGGGAAGTTGAGAACAAAACTTTGGCAATTATGGATGTTACTAACTGGAGAGCCGAGTCAGAAAAATCCAAGATAAGAGGTGTTTCATTGATGGAATTTTTCACCAAAGAGCAAATAACGGAACATATTGCATGCCTCAAGCGGTGCGTTCATCAGGTTAGTGGGGAATGATTCAGTTCTCATCTGGTAATCAATCTTCATTTACTTCTCCCAGAATATGCATTATGCACCCTCTGTGCTAATTGAGGCTCTAAGTTTTTCCAGTTCATCTGATTTACGTGCATTGTTTGTGTACGTGTATGTAACTAGTTTACTCTTTAAGAATGTCTGCTAATGCTCGACCTTGACTACATCATTATTTTGCTTCATTTTGTGTATTCTTTCCCATGAAAATGAAGGTAACACCCTTTATTCAAACATTGCCTATTGTTTGGCATCTAGAGATTATCATATCTTTGCGATAGTTGATGCAGAGTATGTACTTTGATTTGTTTTTCTGTGTTCGTTTTGTTGTAAGCTGTCTATTGGTAGATGGCAAAATATGAAGGGCATAGGATCTTGTAGGGTGAAACTTGGATAAAACTAGTTTTTTGAGGTCACTGTGGTGGGAGGACAACTAGGAGGAGGTGGAGCTTGAGCAGTTCGACATTTTTTTTATTTTGTCTAAGATAGTTATAAACTCATGCATGCAATTGTGCACATTTCAATAGAATAAAAGGAAAGGAACATCCTCCTGCAGACTTATGGCAGAAATCTTTATAAAGAACTATCATTGCAATGCAATCCCAGACTACTTCCAATGACAATTATCCAAGCTAAAACTTTTGGGCTTGAGTATGTTCTACTGGATGGAGAGCCTCAGTATGCATGAATATCAAAGTAGATATTAATTAATCTTGTCATTTGTACTGTCTGAGATGAGGAGATAAACTTATTTTGTATTTATAAATATGATACTGCTCAATGAACTTCTAAACTTTAGCGTAGTATAAGAATAGCTGCACTTTGTGTCAACCATCTGTTGCAATCTTTCGTTAAATCATTAATGAACGTAGGAAGGCTTCTTCCTAGGCAAACCTGAGCTGAAACTGCTTGAGACTAAAAGACATGTTGATTTGTATTACCTGGGAAAGTGACGGGCTTAAAACATTTTCATGATCAGAATTATGACGTCCAAGGAAAGGAAATTGTTTTCAACCATGAATTGAAAAGAATTACATAAATATAAATGTTGATTGATTAACTCCTCATGCATTTTTTGACAGCAGGTATCAGAAAAGGACATGAAAAATAATCTTCCGAATTCCATACGTGAGAATTCATGCCAGCTATGTGGAGCAGACAAGCTTGTTTTTTCTCCATCACCCATATATTGTTCATCATGCAGCGTCTTAATCAAAAGAAATGGGGTTTATTATTGTACGTCAAATGAAATTGACGTACAATGTACTTTCTGCGCATCATGCCACAATTGCTGCAGAGGTGGGACCATTAAGTGCGGGGGAATTTCTGTTTCCAAGGCCAAGCTCCACAAGAGAAAGAATAATGAGGAAATTGAAGAATCAGTAAGTTAACTCAATCAAATTTCTATTTCATAAACTATAAGGATCTCAAGGTTAGTCTCTCATTGTGGCATTTTGGTGCAGTGGGTTCAATGTGATAAGTGTGGAGCCTGGCAACACCAGATTTGTGCCCTTTTTAACGATAAAAGAAATTTAGGAGGAAAAGCCGAGTATATATGCCCCATTTGCTCGTTAAATGAAATGGGAAATGCTATGCTCATTCCACCACTGAAGGTTGGTATTCTTAGAGCTGGAGATCTACCAAGAACCAAGCTTAGTGATTGCTTAGAGCAAAGAATTCTAAGGCGTCTCAAGGAGGAGAGAGAACAGAGAGCAAAAGTCTCAGGAAAGGGCTTTTATGAGGTAAAGTGCAAATCAGTGAAGGCTATCATACACACCAATTTTATTGAATTGCGAAAATGTTTTACCTCTAGTAATTATCATGTCAACATATCATAAACTTCCTTTTGATGGACGTTCATGTGTTACGTTTGCAATTTTTATTAATGAAATATGGATCTTCTATATTCTTCACTTGGATCCTACATTTTGATGACTAGGTTCCTGGCGCTGAAGATCTTGTAGTCAGAGTGGTTGTCTCTGCTAAAAGAAAATTAGGAGTGAAGAAGCATTTTTTGGATACCTTTCCTGACTTGAATTATCCAGCTGAGTTTCCGTACTGTTCAAAGGTGAAATCAGATTTTACATTATGGAAAACATACCTCTTTCATTTTTCCTTCTCCCATTTAGTGTTCCTATGCTCTAAAACATGTCGAATTAGTTATATCAATGATCATAAGAATTGGTAATATACATGGTGTACTGCATAAATTATGTACTCATAAATGATCTGGTCCCATCCACATATATGTACTTCTTTGGAGCCTGTACCTTAAGGAAGATTTTTTTCCCTTTAGTACTGTAAATGGTGCTCTGCATTGTTTTGATATCCCGGTTTTTGACAATATACTTGACCTTCCCTCATGTAGGACTTTGTGTATAAAGCATTTTCATATTTTTTTGCTAAAAGTGTATAAAGCATTTTCATTTACTAGTGTTGATGATCATAAGAATCGCTAATATATGTAACATGTGCATACATTATGTACTCATGAATCCGCTCATGCCTATATCTATGGAGCCCGTGAAGCTTGGAAAATTGATTTTTTCCTTCATCGAAACTATTATTTGATAGGATTAATTGCCTCTCAATCTTGCAAAGATAGTTATGCACATACGGTGTAAGAACTGTAAATTAAGTTCTACATACTAAATTGCACACGTGTGTACATAGATTTTATGCACGCTTTCTTGGAGCAATACCTCAGGAAAGATCAATTTTTTTTTGGTACTGCCTTCGATCATACTTTTGAGTAGGCCAAGACGATTTATATAAGTTTTACATTTTCAGGTAATTCTTTTATTTCAGAAGATTGAAGGGGTAGACATCCTCATTTTTGGCGCGTACGTCCAAGAATTTGGCTCGGATTGTGGACAACCTAATCAACGTTGTGTGTACATCTCCTACCTTGATTCTGTTAAGTACTTTCAGCCAGAGATAATGACTGTGACTGGAGAATCACTCCGGACTTTTGTTTACCATGAATTATTGGTAATCAAATCTGTTTCCTTGCTATTTTGTTGGCTTCTGGCTTCAGCATGCTCTGTACTGTATCCCTGAAGTAGTGTTTTGTTGTCTTTTATCAGATTGGATATCTTGAATGCTGCAAACAACGAGGTTTTGCAAGCTGCTTTATCTGGGCATGCCCTCCTCTGAAGGGAGAAGATTACTTGTTTTACTGTCATCCTGAAACTCAGAAAACACCACCCAATCAGAAACTGCGGAAATGGTTTGTCCCATTTACCTTTCTCCTTCCCCATTTGTCTGTTTATCATTTTGTTCATGTACATGCCTTCTCAAAATACTATGCCCATCTTTTCGTCCACTGATTATTCTGTTATTCTTTTTTTTTTCTTTGGCCATCACTCTGCTTATCATGTCAAACTGTGTTTTCTAGTTTTTTAAAAGCTAAACATATCTATGGTTGTGTTTAGTGTGACACTATCACACTAATAATTTTTGCGTATTTGCAGGTATCAGTCAATGCTGCATAAGGCAGTTGAAGAAAATATAGTCATAAGCACTTCGAATCTTTACGATCACTATTTTCTTCCTCCTCAAAGAGGTATGACCAAGATAACTGCTGCTCGTTTGCCATACTTCGAAGGCGACTATTGGTCTGCTTCTGCGGAGAATTTGATCAAGGATATTGAACAAAAAGATGTGGATGACTCGCAAAAGAAGGGACAAAAAATTTCGTTAAGAATTTTGAAAGCCATGGGACATAAAAGCTCTTCCGATGGTGCCAAAAAAGACATTCTTTTCATGCAAAAGGTATCTCATTTTGTTCATCTCAAACATTATATATAGTACTGTTAGTTGCAGTCTAGCCTCTAGATTGATTGTGACCTATGAGCCGGACACCAGAACAATGGGGAGGTTTAATTAGCCAATTATTATAGTTAGTATGAATGTATATCCAAATTCTGCCTCTGTTTTTCTTCCCAATTATTTGGTTTACATCGATTTAGAGGAAACTTAATATGAGGAAGAAGAATTCCCTCTTTGTGACCCAGGTTCCAAATGTCGAATCTTATACTGGAGGTTCAACTGCGCTTCATTGCAAGCAAATTCCTTCCTAAATCACTGCTGAACTTGCAGTTGAATAAATGAGATATCAATTATTCTTTTCCAATGATCTAAAGCTCTTGGGAAAATTAATGCATGCGGAGGATGCTTAGCGCATGGATGAAACTGGACTAGTTTAAAATCCATGAGTTATTAAAGCTGAGGACAGTATTATATGTTCTTCCGGTATTTAGGTTCTGACTTATTTTTGTGCTCTGCAATTGAAGCTGTGATGACTGCTGCATGTCATGTTTTGTTTGAGTTGTCTCTTTACTCCTGCTGGATCCTTGTAGGACAATAAGCAATTTTATTTTATGCCTGAAGATTTCCTATTCTGTCTCCATATGTCAGTTGCATAATGCTAACTCCCTGAGTTCTACAGTTCCATAGCTATTATTGAGTTTCACCAGGTTCTATTTGTACCTTTCTTAAACTCATGAAGAAATGGGAGTCACAAGATATCTACAAGGAAGTGACTAATTGCTCGAAACTTTGTATGGACATGTTGGTTCCAGACAATTAACATAAGGAGCTATCCCTATGTAGATTGCTATTTCATTCTGATGTAATAGCAATCTTTTCTTTTTCGACCAAAAGAAAAAGGTTGCTATTACATCAGAATGAAATGGTGCCAAATCTAGTGGCATTTTCTAATCTTATGTTTTTCTGAACATATGAATGGCTAAGTTAACTGCCGAATTCCGCATCAGCTTGTTTAACTGAGCAGTATATGATACTGTCATTTTGTTTCATAGACTGAATAAGATCCATTTATCAGAGAAGTTGATATCTGCCCAGCAACTCCATGGCTGGTTGCATCTTACCTTCCTTTCCATATCTTTGAATCATCCACTGATTATTTTTCTCTTATTGATAATAGCTTGGGGAAAAAATCCTGCCTGCCAAGGAAGACTTCATAGTTGTCCATTTGCAGTTTGTATGCTCTCACTGCCGTGAAGTTATATTGTCTCCAAAACGATGGTCCTGCAGTCAATGCAAAAATTTTCAGCTATGCAAGAGGTAACATTTAAATAAGATTTTCCCATTGTATCATTCTGTTCCCGGACATTGCTTGCCAGTGTATGTGGGACTCCCTGTAATAGTATGCCCATTATAGTTGTTTCTCCACTTATGTTCCTTGTGCTTCTTTCACTTTCATTTTAAAATTTCATAGAAGAGGTCAATAAATGTGGTGTGGTTACCATGGCTCATGCATATACATTTCTGGAAGCATATCATGGTCGTGATAACTAGACCACAAACTGATCTGATTGGTTTATGGAGTGGAGAACTCATATTGAGTGCAAAGTGGAGCTTTTAGCATGCTTCACAACAAATAAAGATATTGCATCCCATAAAGAAAACTAGCATAGGAAAGATGACTGACTGTTTGCCGACTGAAACACAGGACATGTCAGGTGGTGTATTGAGTCACTTCTAGTGCTCATCTATGTGAGGCCTTATGACGTATATTAGTATTGAAATTTTTAGCATTTACACTTGGTATCTCTGTGTTGAGAACCCTTTGTCACTGTCAAGTTGCCCTTTCTTATCAGTGTTGTGGCAAACTTCATTCCAACCTTAGATCTGGCTGGTTTTTGTCAAATAAGATAATCTCCCTCAGGGTGAAAGAGCAAAATCTGGTTGTTAAGTTCCCTTCCAACTTTCGACCAAAAAAAAAAAGTTCCCCTCCAACTAAGGGATACTCCTTCCGACCAAAAAAAAAAAAAAACTAAGGGATACTCCACTCAGGCATAAGGCACAATCTAAAGCATTAATTTTGGGGATGAAATAGATTAGCAATTGATTTTAAGTAGCATAATAAGTCTGATTGTCGTTACTAAGAAGAACCAGTATTTTACACACTGAGGCTGTTCTCTTGCTTTTCTCTGGTAATAGTTAAGGAGCATAATTTTTTATGGAAACGGTTCAGGTTTCACTCCTTCCATTTGTAGGATCTTTTTAATCTTTATGTCATATCTGGTTGTTGTGGTCTTTCTCATATTTATGTTAACCCCTCTCTCAAAACCCATACTTGTGACCTAGGAAATAGTCTGGCAATGTCAGACATGGCCCATTTATACAACAGGAGACACGAGATAAAACACAAAATACAGAGTAAAAACTCGAATATGACACAATATAATACACTAAACATGTAGAGCAACTTGAATTGACATGTTCTTGTTATAATCGTTTAGCTATAAGTTATGATACTTTGGTGATAACATGAATTAAAAATACTATTGACACATGTACACAAATTGCTATTGACTAACTAAATTTTTTTGTTTCTGTTGCAGATGCCATGATACTGAGCAACTTCTCTGCGGAACTGACATCCACATGTTAAATGAGAAAGTAAAACATTCAGTCTCTGAGGTTGGTCACAGAATTTTTAGTCTTCCTTGTTTTTTGTTTACAACTTACAATGATGCACATTATGAAAATTAGTCACAAGTAAATCATTTATATGTTTTCAGGCTCCAGTGAATGGTTTGCCTTCTGATACAGAGGATGAGGATACCGCTTTGGAAAATTATTTGTTCGAGAGTCGGCATACATTTTTGAAGTTTTGTCAAGAAAATCAATACCAGTTCAACACACTCCGACATGCCAAGTATTCCTCCATGATGATCCTGCATTACCTTGGCAACCCAAACAATGTAATCGGTGGGGCTTCCTGTAGCATTTGCAGGAAGTTAACTGCATTGAAGCAGAGTTGGAGATGTGAGATATGCTCAGAGTTCAGTGTGTGCGAAGTGTGCTATCAGCACAAGAATTTTGTTCATGAGCACCAGTTGACTCAAGGTTCTTCCCCTTCAGATCAGCCCGATCCTGGGACATAGAGACATAATCTGAGGCTGAAACTTGTGGTAATGTAATCAGATGCTATTACATATTTCCTCTTGCTGCATCACAGTCATGAAATTAGAATTGCTTGTTAACATTTTTAAGCAAGTTAAACACTTCCCGGCTAATCTGGACAGTTTCTAAAAGATAAAATAGCGGCACTGTGTTTTCTTTCCCAGATGTATAATGGCAACTTACTATGCAACTACACTGTTGGGTAATTTACAGGATATCTGACTGCTCTCTTATATCACTATGCCAATGTAGGCACATTGTGAAATATGACGTACTTTCTTGGACAGATAAAAGGAATTCCTTGATCTTCTTCAGCATTTCTCTGCATATAGTGTATCCATATGTCATTGTTGCTATACAAATTGCAATCATCTCAGAACACTAGAGTACCCTCTTTCTGCATATTACTCAGATATTTAGAGTAAGGCATGACAACCTATCTAAAGAACCTGTCCCTGCTGTGCTTTCGAGAATTTGTCATCTGCATGGAAGTGCATTTTATTTTCCATCCGTTCTACCAAGTATCAACTTTCAGTGACTAACTACAAAATATACTAGTTTGTCAAAACGAATTAAATGAATTATTCACATTTTCAGGGATGTCAGCATCATCAAGCATGCAGAACTACTACTCGCACGAAAATCTGAACCTGGACCTTGGGGAAAAAGCGATGCAAAATGAGCTCAGAAAGCTATCATCTTTGATTCCTCTGTATAGTTGAGGAAGCCTCTTTGAGGAGCTGCGCTATCATCAATGCTAGCAAAGCGACTAGTGGTTAATCTGTCATTTGTACATGTAGGTAATTCGAAAAGATAGGGGACATCTTTTGTGCCAAAAGTGAGGTGGTCACCTGTATATAAAACTGGAATTCATCCACCTTGAGAATTATAAGTGAGTTTTAACATAATAGATCTATTTTCAAGCATTGATCCTTTTGCGGAAATAAACACAGTGACGTGATGTATCGTGACATTAAAACGGGAGAATCCGTAGTGATCCAATGTTTTTGGAGCTGACATTCACAGAATCTAGTTGTTTTGGTAGATCTATGGGGCATCCTGAGAGGAAATTTCATGCTGGTTCTACTGGAATTGTCTATGTCTCTTTATTTTGTTGTCCTTATTGAGTATCGCACAATTTTTTTTTCTCAGGAGACTTGTTTGCGAAGCGAGTCCAGGGGTAGTAGTATGGCATGCAATGTTCCCGCTCTCGGTAAGAAATGGATTTAGGTATCCGGAATATATGCTTTTGATACGGTCAAGTAACTTTTGGTAAAGTATAGTGCAATTCCTTTGAAGTTCCCCATGTATACATAAATGCACATACAGGCAAATTTTCTGCCTCATGAATGCAAAAGACGAGTAGAAGCATGGCGTGAAAGAGAGAACAGCAATAAATGCTTGACTTGCAAATAATCCATATCTTTCTTGGGACAAACCTTTCAGGTTTCCTTAATCTGGTGTATCCTTTTGTCAACAGATTTATGTTTGCCATATGCTAATTTTTCTCAAAAGAGACTGGTGTACTTAGGTTCCACCCAATCCTTGTCAACAATTGACAAATCGTATCCCAATAAAAAGCAAAGTAAAGGCCCACGTTACAATCTCTGGCACTATTTTTGACCAACTCTATTCTTCATTTCACCCGTCCGTCTTTCCGCCCCAAACCCACATTCAGCTTGAACTGTGTGACATCAAGATCGATACCGAAATGGCTCCTCTTCGCATTCACCTCATCCGCTGCTTCTTTCTCCTCCAACTCCTCCTGCTAGGAAGTACAGCAGGCGCCACGAACCCAGTCAAGATCACCCTGGATTACTCGATGCTTCCCCTGCAAGAAAAGGAGCGCCGTACCAGTTACGAAGTAGTTTTCAACTTCTTGCCAAGAGGCATCCAAATTCCGCCTTCCAGTCCATCGAAGAGACATAATTCTGGAGCACATAAACTGAAACACTGAACAATATAGCCTTTGATCTCCGCACTTCTTCCTTCTAGATTTCTACCTCGCGAACAGGTTGAGAAATGGCCTTTATTTTCCTCAAATATTTGCTACCGCATCATATACAGTTACAACGAATGGTTGAGAATAAAATGTATCATCTAGCTCTCTCTTCGTGCCAATGTCCAGACCGGGTAATACCTCTCTCACCATGCATGCTTGGGTTTGAACCCTGGATGCAAAGAGATGCATCAACCTGGACTAGCCCAAGACCTGAGCCTCAGATTAATTTCTGTAAATCTTTACTTGAACACAGAAAGCGTATAAAAAGATACAATGTTTGTAAGATTCTCTAAGTCATCTATTTTTTTCAACTAGACTGCAACTAAAAAGTTTCTCTAATTGCATTCTTGTAAATGTTTCCAGCAGCAAACTGCAAGCTACAATAATCAGATAAGTACCTGAAGAGATTTGATTTGTTTGGAGTCCTCTAGACCCCAATGACGAAAAATGAAATGAAAAAGCAAAGAAAAGAAAGAAACGAAAAGCAGTTGTGCAGTATTAGGACCATCTTAGTACATATTAAACTAGTTATCATATCCATCTGTCAAGTCAGCAATGGCGATGTCACATGTTAATCTGTCACCAGATTATCTTCTCTAGCAAAATCCAAATCCAAGTCGTCGCCATTCATCTCCGACCATAGTGGCGATGGCCAGTATGCCTGTCCTCATACGGATGATCCAAATCATAATAATCACGGTTATTGTCCCGAGAATATTCATATCTAGACGAGCCATAATCGGGGGGTGAATTATGGGGACCTCGATTGGCAAAATCTCCGTATGGGCTCCTTCCACCTCTCTCATATGAGGACCATCCAATTGGAGGACTCCCTGGCAACTGAACACTACTTCTTGGACTGCGAGAAGACAAACTAGAATCATAACGATCCGATGCTGAGGGGTGCCTAGATATGGAAGTATTGTATCCCGGTTCAAAACCAGGAGGAAAGTCATCTCTCACATGCCCAGACCATCCATGCTCCTGATAATGTGCCCTTTCAACGGGCGTGGTGGAATGGTTTGATCTCTGATAAGATCGGTGGTACCTAGATGATTCCAACCTCAAGGGTCCAGCTGCCCAACGTCTTTCATCAGCATTTTTTGGAATAGGTGCATTTATTCCAGGAAATTTGACTGTCATTTTCTTCTTTAATTCTCGCTCTGCTTCCTTAATTTCCCCATCTTCACCCTCTTCCTTGACCTCCGTATCCGCAAATATGGTAATCCCGGACATGTCATCTGCATCATCAATATCTGCATTGACAAAATAGATCAATGTTTTAATCCAGTCACTACAATGGCTCAGATCTGGATAGAGCGCTCTTTTTCTATTAAAGGACAAAAAAAATTACACCTTAAAAAAACTTAAGCAAGAGAAGAGCCAACCGAAACAAACAAATCAATGCCCACACAGTAACCTGCATACTATGACGCCTAAAAGTAGAAAAGGTGATATCTCACTTACCAAAGTATCCTGGAGGGTAACCAAGTTCCCGCATCCTGTTAAGCCAAGGGGGTGGATCGAGCTCCTGCATTTCAGATAAGCAACTAATTACTACTCCACAAAACAAAAATATCCTCAGAGCATTTAGGCTGGACCATAACCGGATTTATATGTACAAACGGAGAGAACATATATAAATTATTCTCAATATCACTTAAAAGGTGAGTTAACATTCACTACTTAGGCACATCTAGCTCGTCACTCTCAAATGAGGTCAATGCCAAGCAATCATTTTACCCCAAGACCCAATAGCTGCCGTGTCTCAGCCTCAAGAGTGCCTGGTTGCAGTCCATCAAATTTCCCTGTAGGAGGGTCCTCATAATATCTAGTAGAATTACGAGAACTAGCATTCTGACTTCGTTTGGACTTGTGTTGCATTCGAGCATTATTGACAGCAACATTATCTCGAGGCTTTGGACATTCCCTCAAGGAATGGCTGTAAGAACCACAGTTGAAACAGCGAGCAGCATCCCCGATTATCTCCAGACCTCTGTAAAATGAATATGCAACTTGGTTCATATATGCAAGTCATATGAGTATACAAATGTTACAACTCCAGTTACCAAAATTCAACGAAACTAATCAATGTTCCCACTGGAATGCAATATAACTTAATTATCAGGTAGTAAGGGGAATAATATCTAATTTTTTCCTAGTATGGACACTTATCCACAAATCTTATAAATGAGGTCCTCCATGAAGGTCCGCTTCGATCAAAATAGAGAAACAGAAGAGTAAATAACAAAGGAGATCTTATCTACAGACCAAACAGAGATCGTCATGGAAAATTCTTTCGAGTACATGGTCATACTAACTCATAGCGCAAACACTTGGTAAGGGACAAATCCAGAGGTAAACGTCTTGGAGAGGTAAAATAATGGAAAAATTGCAATACTTTCAGCATCTCATTAACAACATTCGACATGGTCAATTGGACTAGGTTACTTAATAACCGTAGCTACAACCAGTCCAACAACATAAAATGTAACTCCAAGATGACTGCTTTTCAAAGTCAGATATGACCAGCAACATACTCTGGTCCCTGAATACTAGATTTTCACATCCTTCCTTAACGTAGGCCATGTTGATGGTGGCCCACGCGCACTAGTTAAGCACATTTAACATGGAAATGCTTGTTCACGGCATCAAATACACATGGCAAGAAAAGTCAGGTGCATTCCAAATTACCAATTTTCTGATTTGATCACTTAACAAGGGCACTAAAGGCACTCTTTAGGTTTCTTTTTGCATTGTATATTTTTGGTAAGAATAGTCACAAGTTGGCTACAAATGGTGTCACTAATTAATCTTAATTGCTTGTACATCTGGACATGGGAGAATGATCAAGTTATATAATTCGGTACTTAAGTAATGGCAAGGCGTTGGTTTGCAGGTCTCCCACTGGAAGAATCAAGAGGCATGTGAATAAATGGCAGGGCATATGTAATCTCCATTAGTATCGCAAAACTAATGACTTGTCAATACTTACATTAACGTCAATCAAAAGTCCATCACTGAGCATGGTTCTCTTTAGAGACATTCCTTTCCAATCCCCAAGGGCCACTCTTTGTTAAGCATAACAAGTGCACAAAATTTTCAAGATATTGAAGATGAATGAATTGCACTAATTTCACACGTCTCAAGAAACTGAAACTTATTAGCTTTTCACATTTTGAAAGGCACATTAAAATAGCTTAGCAAGTGACCACAGGGGTCATTAAAAGTTTCGAGAACAAACTAACTAGGTCATCTTTGCAAAAGGAAACAAAAGCAATGCTATTTATAGCCAAAAGATAGTCAGGTAGGGGGGACTACAAAACATCCATGAAACTTGCGTCCTTATGTCTGGCATGTGTCGATTTTTATGCATGAAAAAACCTTTAAACATTTATTACAAAGAATCACAGAACAGGAAGGGGGAAAATATCCATGCAGCTGACCCCACCAAGAGGGAATGGACTTTGTTTATGGTTGTGGCAGCTTGTTGGGGTGCTTGCTCGCTTCTGTTAAATGTGTGAAACAGGGAAAAGAGACTATGCCTACTTATATCATAATACCAGCAGAAATTTACCCATCTACATTATTTGATCCATCAGCCAAAGTCAAGCCCAGTGCATAACCACGATCATAAAGAGGTACGGTGTTACTGTCTAGAGTAATAACCCCATCATTCTGCACGTTTCTTGTTTGATGGTCAATCCAAAATGACTGCACATAGAATGACAAATGAAAGAGAAATTAAAAATAACACACAAAAGGGAACTCGCAATTGAAACTTGCTATCTTAAATGATAAATCCAATCTCAATAATTGCCAAAACAGGAGATGTCAAGGTAAGCACCAGTATCTAAGAGTCATACAAAGTTTGTCAAGCACAATGAAGCTTGCTTCTTACCACCTTTAGTCAAAGATAAAGAAGATGCAGTAGAAAAACACATGAAGGAAACTCACTACTGCTGACTGCTTCTCCACGCCAACTCGCAGCGCTGGAAAGAATGTTTCTTCACCAGACTCTAAATCTTCACCTGTATCCTGAAGACAATGAAGTTCTTGACTCAGCCAAAGTTTAGTCAAAACAGCAAGCTTTCAATCCCACCAAGAAAAGAAAAGTCATTATCATGTCGAGACTACCCCATTAAACAAGCAAATGAATTAACATAATACCATAAAGGTATAAGAGACAGTAAAGAACCTTCAATACTATCAGAGGGATTCAACGATAAAGAAATATAATACTAACTCGGGAAGAACCATGCTTAGTGTGCCACTCAGACCATTGCTGCAACAGTTCTTCAAGCTTTTGTTTACTTGCTCTGCAATAGTATCCACTCGGTTATAAAAGCAACATAATGATTTTTCGCTGAAGCAGATGATGCATCTATTTGCTCCTGTGAAAGGCAACAAACTAGTACAAAACTTAAACTGATAAGGCTGGAAGCACCTCTAAGCTGACCTTGTCAATGAATTATACGAAACATGAACGGATGGTTGCTCTTCATCATATGTTACACGCGCTCTTTTGCGACTGGATGTTGCTGGGGCGTTGAGTTATAGAAAACAAAAGTTCCATGGAGCTACAAATTAGAGGTATAATTTTTAAACCTATGGCAGGATAATCTTCTATGCAGCCAGGGAAACCCATGCCCATTAGTCTCTCCTATTTAGTAGTTTTGATGAAATATTGACGGTCAATATTAGGATACAATTGCTACACATCACATGACTGCTAAGAGCATTGTTCTCTTCAAGAGCGGCACAACCATTTTTAGTTTGCAGCCCAGTGCTCAAGCGGTCATTTTTCTCCACAACTTGAATAGAATCAGTTTCAGTCACTTCCACATTCACTCCGGCCACAGATGAACTGCCAACTAATTCCTCATCAAGTTCCATGTCTATGACAAAAGCTCCCTCTTCATGTCCAACATTACAGTCGCCCTGCCCCTGGTCCTCGTCCTTTTGCCCCTCTTCATCCTCTGGATCGAATTGGGGGGTACCGACTTCGCCAGGCTCGCGGTCATTACTAAGGGGCCCATTGCCCTCGTTCCCACTATCCAAGTTGGAGGATGCTGATGGGGGCTCGACTGCGTCCCCCGTTTCCATAGAGAAAGAACGGCTTTCCTATAATTCAATCGAATTCGTTATCCCTGCATGAGGGCACACTGGAGAGCATCAGCCCAAGAACCATATCGGCACAGCTCTGGCAAAAGCACACTCATAAAGAACCAGCACAGACAACAATAACCAAAAAAAAAAAATGGTCATAAACTAATCTTGAAACAAACTCTCCCAGGAGGCAAAAGGGTAATCACGAATTCCACAACCTGCCCAAAAGAAAGACACTGCTCAACACTAAACTGCCGAGACACACCACGCATCTCACTGTAGCACCTCAGTGTAGCGCCCCTTGGACCAAGAAAGCAAAGAACACAACAACCCGCGAACCCCACTTGCCACAAGCAACGAGTGTCCCCCTACAAAAAGCAAAAGCGAAGCCTTTTGAATTCGGGACGCGAAACCTTACCGAAAGCCGCGGGAACTGCATCCACAGATAGCCGACCGCGCCGCCGAAGACCCGGCGACGTGCTGAAGAGAAGAATTTGCAGGAAGACCGGAGGAATCAGGGGCTTCTTCTTCTCTCCTTCGTGAAATTTCCCAGTACTGGCCTGGCCGCGCGTTAACGATCTTTACCGAATCGAAGCAAAGAATCACGATGCGCGTGGGATGCAGAGAGGGTCGGAAGAGACAAAAAGATGTGGACTTGGGACAAGCGAGTGCGAAACGAGGTCTTCGGAGGGGGGCGTGATCGCGTGCGTCGCGGACACCGGTGAGCCCTCGACGTTGGACCGTTAGGCTCTGTTTTTTTTTTTAGGGATAAGTACGTTTAAAGTCCTAAAACTTATTAGAAAAATGTAATTAAATTATAAAACTTTTATAATATGCAATTAAGTCATAAAACTTGTTAGAAAAGTGCAATTGAGTCCTAAAACTTTCAAAAAATGCAAATAAGTCCTAAAACTTATCACGAAAGTGCAAACAAGTCCTAAAACTTATCAAATTGATTCAATGAAGTCCTTCCATTTATTGTACTTTTTGAAAGTTTTAGGACTCAATTACACCTTTATGATAAGTTTTAGGACTTAATTGCACTTTCATGACAAGTTTTAGGACTTGATTGTATTTTTTGAAAGTTTTAGGACTCAATTGCACTTTCCTGACAGGTTTTAGGATTTCTAGTACACTTATCCTTTTTTTTATTTACAGTTAGGCTCTATTTAGTTAGCACTTAGCAGGATAAGGACAAGTTTATCCTCGTCCCATGTTTGGTTCTTACTTAAGACGGGATAAGATTGGATATAAGAGGAATATAACCAAAATAAAAATATCTTAATAGGAAAGTGAGATAAAAGTGGACGTGATTTCTTATATTCAAGTTATACAAACTATTTTTTAAATAACAAACTATTTATCATATTATTTATTTATTTATTCAATTTTTTTCTATTTTATAATATATATTATCTATATATATATGGAAAAATTTCAAATAAGGACCCGAATTGCTCTTATTTTCTCAAATAAGGGTCTAAAGTACCTTCATTTTCTCAAATAAGGGCATGAGATGATTATAACAGTTTCAAATAAAGGCCTCACCTCGCCGGCGGCCAAATTTTCCAACCGGTCAAGGGCATTTTCGTCTAAAAATAACTTTAACATAAATTTTAGTTAAATTAGATTAAAAATTTAAAAAAAAAACAAGGGGGAAGGCTAGCCATTGCCCCATCGCCGGTGGGGCGGCGGCCATGGCCAGCAGGGTCGCTAGTGCCTCAGCGAGGGTCGACGACCTTCACCAACCAGAGGCGAGGGCATGGTAGCCCTCTCCAGAATCCGGAAAGGATCGCCAGCCCTCACCCTGGTTTGGGCGTGGGTCGCCGGCCCTCGCCCAAGTCTAGGAGAGGGCCACCAGACCTGGCCGAAGGCCAACGGCCCTCCCGCAGACCTGGGCGACCCAACCCTCCCCTTGTTTTTTTTTAACTTTAGCTTTTTTTAAAGTTTTTTTTATGGAAAAGAAACAAAAAACAAAAAAAAGAAAGATAAAAAATCAAGAAAATTAAAAGTCGAAAATGCCCTTAACTCCAGTGAGATTACGCCCTTTATTGAGACTGAGATGGTTACTTCAGATCCTTATTTGAGACAAGGTTCACTTAATGTCCTTATTTGACACAAGGTCTATTTGGGGCCTTTATTTGAGAAAATGAGAAAATTTCGGATCCTTATTTGGAATTTTCCCTTTATATATTTAGTATTTATATTTATTATATATTTTATTTATATCACTATTTTAGGTATATTAGTATAGTTTATTACTTAATAATTTTTTATGGAATGATGGAAGGGAATAAAAAGAAATAAATACAAAAGAAAGAGAAAAATAATGAAAAAATAAGTAAATAAAAATGAAGTAGGCTAGAGAGTCAAAATACTATACTTTTCAGAATTCGTGAAAGCGAATGATCATGTTTAATCTATCTTACTATATTTGACATTTGCTGGATGATTTATCTTGTCGATGTTTCTATAACCCGATTACGTTTATTATCATGGTCGAACATGTGGCTCGGGAATGTTGCAATGAGCTCCTTTGTTGTTTAAGATTTAAGATCATCAATGATCATTGGTTGATTGGTGAAGGTTATCTTCATTTGTGCATTTGTGATTTTTTTTAGCAATGAGCTCCTTTGTTATTTAAGATTTAAGATCATCAATTATCGTGGATCGATAAACGAAGGTTATCTCCATTTGTACATTTGTGATTTCTTTAGCAGTGAATCGTGAGAGATTTTTATCATATCTGTTTGTGCATTTTCAGGTTCATTTACACTAATATATTATTCGTACCAAACAATAAATATGATAGAATATGAAAATATCCGGCTTTATTAATGCGATTCACTAAACAATGGATAAGATATAGCAAAATTCATGGATTTTGTATCTTATTATACTCAATCCTATTATGACTAGAAATCCAGACAATCAAACGCAGTCTTAAGGATTATAGGGTTAGGATGGTCTTGTTAGTCGTAGAGATAAGTTGATTAGCTAGTATCCTTTTTCTTATTACTTTGTGGTTCTGCGTAAGAGTGTGCAAATGAACCAAGAATCGCCTGAAACAGGACCGGACCGACCCAGAATCGACAGTTCCCATGGGGACCGGCTCGGCTCCCAGTTCCTATTTACTAGAATCGATGAGTACCAATCCGATTCCCTGTTCTAGGCATGAAACCGCCTACCCAGATCGGACCGGTATATGCATATTTAAAAAAAAAAAAATAGGACAGGCCAAGTAAGGTTACGAAGGAAATGCAAGTTCTCTCTCTTCTTTTTCCTTTTACTATCCCAAGTTTGATGTGCTTCTTAGTGGACAAAGATCCACACTGAAAGTCATTAGACCCATTTGTGTCTAGCAGATCTGGACTGGACCTAAGCATCTTGCTATCATGCTTACTAGCAAACTGCAATGGATTCACTGCTTCCATGTTCAGGGAAGAAGCAATCTTTGGAAGAAACAATAGGGTAGACCAATTCCATGGACCCACATCAAACATGGGACCGGTTCCATGGACTCACTTAGCAATCAGACTGGACTGGCGGTTTTGTTCCCAACTGGATCCATGGAACTAATGGATGGTTCCCAATTCTAATTTTTCGGAACTAGTTTTTAGTGGGCGATTTTCAGTTCCAAGATGGGAATTGCCCACCCAGACTACGCTCACCCCTAGCTCTATGGGTCAAAAAGTTTTTGCGGCCCCGAGAGCCATTAATGGCGCCTAAAGTCTAAGAGGCTGTCCCTTTGTAAGCCAAGAGGAAGGGCCATTGTTGTGTGATAACATATGTATCCTAGATTGTCACTAGACTTACGATAACCCTCTTGGTATCAGAGTCAACTTCCACGACACGTTTCACTGCGTTAATGACTATCACATTATAGGTCTATTGCAGCAAACTGCATGTTAGTGTTTGATTACAATAATTACTATTACGGTCAAGTTGTAATAATTATTAGGGTTAATACCATGAAAAATCCCAAACTGATACACTTGTGATAAATTTATCTCAAATTAATTTTTTGACCACAGAAAACCAAAACTGGTACACTTGTGACAAATTTACGCCAAACTAATTTTGTGACTACGAAAAACCCAAACTGGTACACCGCGATAAATTTACCCAAAATTAATTTTTTAACCACACAAAATCCTAAATTGGTGCACATGTGACAAATTTACCCAAAACTGGTACACTTATGACAAATTTACCCTCAGTTAACTTTCATCAAATTTTACCGTTAAATTTGTTGATGTGGATGACACACGGTGACATGGTATGGTGACGTGGCAAGTCCACGTGGAAATCCATAGGGCAAATATCACGAAAAACCCCAAATTGGTCCACTAACAAAGGGAAAATTTGTCACAAGATTACCAGTTTGGGGTAGATTTGTCACATATGTATCAGTTTGGGGTTTTTTGTGGTAAAGTTTGGGGTAAATTTGTCACGGGTGTACCAGTTTGGGGTTTTTCATGGTGACAAAATTAGTTTTGGGTAAATTTATCACGGGTGTACCAGTTTAGGTTTTTTTTAGTCAAAAAATTAGTTCGGGATAAATTTATCATAAGTGTACTAGTTTGGGGTTTTTCGTGGTCAAAAAATTAGTTTGGGGTAAATTTGTCACAAATATACCGGTTTGAGATTTTTTATGATATTAACCCTAATTATTACATGACCTCCTGGATAGTATCTATTCCAGTGCAGCTGTAATATCTATTCCTACGAGCACCTCTGTCTCTTTTCTTCCACTCACTTCATCAATGTTAGGTTACAAATTATAATCAAAATCTATAATAACCATAACCGAGTTCATTAAATTGTTTATGTAATATTAGCAAGATTATATTCATTTTGGTCTAATTACGAATTATACAATGATCAAGATACTTGACAATAAGTTAATAATTCCTGTAATAAAATTTATGTTATTAATAAGGTGACAAGAGAATTGACAGAAAGTTGCAAAACACCATGGCGAAAGCAAAGCCAGCAAATAGCAACATTGGCACAAACCCTGCAAAAATAACGGGGCAAAATAGATCCACAAAATATGAAATATGTGGAATATCTAAAAAAATTTAAGCAAGCAATCATTACATGCAGGCACTCCTCAACTTTAAGATACATGCCATAAGGGAGGGGGCAAGCCAGAGAAGGAGGAAGAACTTCCAACGTCCAAATTGGAGAAGTTTCCTCGTGAGTGTTCCTTTGTAATTTTCCTTAGAGAAGAACAAAAACCCCCCATTTCTCTTTTAAGTTCCTATCAAGTCTCCAATCGAATCCCACATTTGTAAGATTTTCGATTCTCAATTTGAGGGTAATTATCAGAATATCCACTCTTAAGCCTAGAGTAGGCTTCACCAGTATTTGGACACGAATGCCAATTTTTGTCTGAAATCGTGACGGAATTTCAAACTCAACCAAATTACAAACTATTTAAACAATCTGTGGTTGTTCATGGAAATCTAGAGAAGTTCCTAAAGACACATTATAAACTATGAACGGCATGTTGAGGGGTCTATCCTCTCTTTCAATACCATGATGGTTCTTGCCCTCTGCGTTTTAGTTATTTGAAGACAAAGTCCTCCTCCTCTTCAGTAATTTGCCATTCCTGGACTCACCCACATTTCCATCACCACCCAACTCTCCTTTCACCTCAACCTTTTCATTGAAGACATCCATGAACTCTTTCGAGCTTGTTTCCGGCACAGATGGGCTTCTCCTGTAACTCTCCCGAGAGCCCCCATTGCCGCTCGAGCTCGAGCTCTCTGCTTCAATTGGCCCCTTTCCCTTGGCATCCAAAGCCCGACCATCCCTACAACTCCCTGCCTCGGCTTCTCCCCCGACGCTGCTTCCTGTGGAAGAAGAAGATGATGGTGCTGAAGTGGTGTCGCTGGGGGTTTGGAGGATTGTGAGACTCTCTTTCTTTGCATCTTGAAAGGAGTAACTCCTTCCCTTCGCTTTGTGCAAAGGGAGGAGTGTTTTCGGGCTTGAGGGCGCCACGCGGTCCCTGCCTAAACTGTAGGTTGTCGACAGCTTCCTCTCAATGCTATTTTTTTTCCGTTCTAGATCGCCTAGTTCTTCTAGCACTTCACTGGACAGTGTTCCCTTGTCTGCTCTCTGCTTGAGCTCTGAGACTGTCCTATCCAAGGCTCTCCTCTTAAGTTGGAGAGAATGCTGAAATGGCACAGTGGTTAAAGAAAAACCATAAGACTGCGCAGCAATTGAAAGAGATATTGGGGGCTCGGTTCTCACCCGCTTCTTCAAAAAACTCCCAAGATCTCCACCCTGAAGCTTTTTCTTCCGCCAAAACACACAGCAGAACCTGACGAGACTGGCTAGGACAAGCAAGATGGCAGATTCGAAGAAAAGGAACAAGAGTATCCTCCTCTCATCGCCTGAAATCACAGAAGCAAAGAAATGAATAATGATACTGCCAAATTGTGCGCAGTTCATCTTTACTAGGTAGTCTCACTGCACCTTTCTCGATGCTGTAACGCTTCGACCACGCTCTGAAGCAGCTCGACGCGAGTTTCTGCCCTGCATCAAGAGAAGACTTACGTGAAATTTGTATGTGGAAGCAAAAGGGAAACTAAGGGAGGTGCTGCTGATTTCGGTGGAAATCATTAATTTTACCTTGGCAGGCCAGTGGATTGCCAGTTTCTGCTTCCATGTCAAAAGAGCAAGACACAGTCAGTATACAGCAGCTCACAAAGAACGGCATAAGAACTGGAATGGACATCCTACTATGTCCAAAAGAAATGGCACTCATCTAGCCCATCTATTTCTTATGCTTTATCTCTATGGACAAATTGTGCGTGCATAGCAAGAAGATTTGGAGTTAAAATCTGTCAAATGTAAAGAATGCATACTTGAAGCAGCTACAAAAGCAAGAAGAATTTCCTCGTCCAAAAGAAAATGATCGAGATCGCTTCCAGCAAGTGAGGATGTGAACTGGTCTGAAACAGAAAAAAACATACAGACCATAAAAACATTGAGGAGAGCATACCATTGAACACAAATATAAACCGTATCGGAATCCAAATGAAGTCGCAAAAGACTGGCCGTACCTGAATATTTTTGCGACCAATACACGGATCCTGTTGCGGGAACCAACAAGGAAAAGATCGCGCTTTTGGGTCTCATTGCCGAGATGATGGTATATTCACCAATTATGTGGTTGGTCTTTCCCTCCACCTGTGTCTGAGAGATGTAAATCGCATAACCAGAGCAGTCAAGGACGGGACTGACTTGGATGACCAAGTCTAATTTGGTTGCTCTCGGGAACTTCATGAGATCCCCAGTTGGTGAAATTGAGTATACACAACCATCCAGCGAGCCGATAGATACCCAACCTTTGTCATCAATGAATTACAACAGTCAGTCACCGCATGGAAGCACAATTCGTTGCAAATGTATCTGCTCAATTTGAGAGTGAGGCTTAAGGGACTATGCACCGAATCTAGTTAAATTCGATCCAATAGTTTGTGCTTGTTTAAGCTGTAGATCCATCAGTTGCCAAAAACATAAAAATGAGTACAGGCTTCGTAAGTTGTAAATTCTCCTCTCCTTAATTAGCATTTCCACACAAGGAATCAGCAAATAAGACGGCAAAACAAATGAAATTTAGGGACTTTGGTGAATAGTATTCACAATCGGAATACAAACTGTGGGAAGAAAGGTGCTTAGTAGAGAGAAATCAGGAGCCCTGGATTACTAGAGAATGTAAATTACAAGTAGTTACTGATGCACATAAATCCTCAACATTTTCCATAAAACTGTGATCACCGAATGGCAATAGTGACAAACAAGGCCTGTAAGTCATACGTTTTATTGCTTTTGCAATTGATTTACAATGTTATGAGTATTACCATTTAAATCAACAACCAGTCCGCAATTGGATGAGCTTAGTGGCCCAACGTTTCTCTGCCAAAGGACATTTCCTGTGGAAACATCGAGCGCCAGCACAAGCGCCCTGGCTGGTACAGTGACATAAAGCCGGCCGTCGTTCCCGGCAGTGATAGTGTAGACTTTGTCTAGCGAACTTAAATCCTGAATCCATTTAAAATGAGGAGTACGAGCTGACAAAGAGTATATTTCCCCGTCCGAATTTGCTATCTGCAGTTGTTGTTGGTACTTAAGTAATAGGCTTGAAAGTGCGAGCAAGAAGACTGCTGCTACGAGTTCATATAAATAGAAACGAACATAACTAAACAAAAAATGATATTACAAGCTTTAACTAGGTCATTAATCCAAGCAGATCTGCCTATTCAGTTTTTCAGACCTTGAGACTGTAAGCCTGTACATGTTTCACAATTGATACCTTCAACTAATATCACTAGACTAGAAAGAGAAATTGAGTGACTAGGGAACTTTACGTAGATGTTAGCCTCGCAGTAGTCGATAACGGGGACCGAAGTGAAGGAACAGTCAGAAGGATTTCTCCTGCAACCTAGACGGTAGCCGAACTGATCAAGCACAGGCCCAACGCTCCACAGCAGTTCACCATGCACCGTGTACGCGAACAGCCCTCGTCGTAGAAGATTTATGTACACACATGAACTCAACGTGCTCACTGAGATCCCGATTATTTTGGTGGCCGCTTGGCCTGGTTCTGGACCGAAAAGAACCTCCACTGCAGCGCCGGAATGTCGAACTGCTGAAAAATCAATTCTCAGTACTCTGTCCTCCGCAACCAGGTATATCTGCCAATAGTATCCTACATGTATTATAAACCATCGAATATTATGGTAAAATGTGACAGGACCGCAACCTCAGGCAGCCTCGTACTGGGAGTCTACCTTTGTCTCATTGGTTGAGTAAAATAACCTAAATGTTTGAAACCGACTCCTCTATCATGTCACAGGAAAAATAAATGACATTGATCCATTGAATATGTCTGAATCAAACACATGGTTTGAGAATGAAGAACCTCGCATTGGTCTAATCAATACATATGCAAGAAATAGATCCACTCAACCAGTCAATGGCTCACCTTTCCTCTCTCGCCAAGAACCGGAGCTATTCGAGCGTTGCATGTGAAATTCAAATGTACAGACCAGGAGATTGTGCCATTGCTTTCGAACCCGAACAGGTTTTTCTCCGAACAAGTATAAATCCTCCCGTCATCGCCAATTAAGGGTTTCGAAAGCCTATAAGTAGTTCTTGTCGCACGCTCTTCGGCTGAATAAGCAGCACCCCAAATCGGTTGGCAGTCCAAAAATCTTAATACGTGTCAACGTGAAGAGGAAAAGAAAAAGAGTTTGCTGCATATGGGAAATGGGGAAATGGCCTCGACGAACACGAGCGCCTCAGTTTCGAAGCAAGAGACATTAGAGAGTGCGCGCGCCATCGTACCTGCAGACGAGGGTTGGATGGAAGTCGATGGAGGGAGGATGAGGAGGAGAAGAAAATGGAGGGTTAGCATGATCTCACAGACGCTCTCAAAGAGAGATCTGGTTTGAGAGAGAGAGAGAGAGAGAGAGAGACAGAGAGACAGAAAGGCGTTTACTCTGGCGTTGGAAGAAGTTTGAGTGGGAAGTGGGATGGAGAGATTGAATTGATATGACGGTTAATTAACCGCCCTTCTTCATTGGCGGGAACGGAGCATTTTAAAGTATGAAAATACCTTTTATATACCAAGAATTGAAGAGATTATTTTGAAATTGATCCATATAGTTTCGCGGTATTATCTTCTTCGCTCACTCGCAATATGAAGTTATTTTCCAAGCATACAATGTTAAAACCATAGTTATTTTTTCAATTTTCAGCGATTGGAAAGATTTAAGCGAAAGTAAATAAAATAATTAATAAAATCGGTAAATTCTTTTTGATCGAAAATAAAACCAGTAGAACTTATAAAAATGTAGTATTTTTTTTTCCACGATGTTTGTGTGATTACTTATTCGATTAAATAAAATAAAAAAGGATTATTGCATAAAACAAAATATCAAAGTTAAGAAAAGAGTGAGAAATAGAAGTATTATTGTGAATTGTAATTTTCTTTTTTTTGCATTTTACATATGCTATTTTTCAAATTTTCCATGTATAATTGGCCGTATAGATTCACTAAAAAAAAGGAAATTGGTTGCCAGGAACCTCATGTTTAAGTGTGGGTACATTAAAAATCTCGGAAGGTTATTGGTTCAAATCTAACAAATAGGGTGCAAACTAATATGGGTCAGGGTAACCTATATAGGCTAAAGGCTTAAACTGAACAAGTTCATAGATCTTGCCAGATGTTCCATTGGCTTTAAGATAGCCGGCCGTGCCTTGGGTTTATTTGGGTTATTGAAAAAACGAATTACAGCATTAACCGCTCGGTAAAATTTTTGTAAAGAGTTCAGTGCATGGCCTACGATCTCTTAACAAGTAAATCCTTGCGATGCATGTTAAAATGTGTTCCACTAATTTTACTCTTGCACATCAAACTGGCTCATCTTTACCGACACCCCCTCGATTCGCCGTGATCACCGGGTACCCTGCCTCAAAGAGGAAGATTGGAGCAATGTTGCCGTGCATGAGGTAAAGTGTGTGCGCGCTCACGATTTTTATGTAGGCATACATATAGCTACACACATACGCATAATACATACGAATCCGACCATTGTTAACTAAGTTGAAATTCAAGCAACTGCCGACTAACATGAGCTTGACCAGATTGTCTGATCCGGACAGAAATTGTTCTTTTGTTGTGAATCCGCAATACATGGCCTCCACTGCTCGTTTATGCTCAATTTTGTTAGTTTTCTACTTGCCAGTTTACCGTCATCAATAAGGACCAAAGGAACAAATAAAAAAATAAATTAGGAGAAACAATCTGACTAATTGAATTGAATTAAATAAACGAGAAGGAAAAGGCGCAGAATTACAGATGATATTAGATTGTCCAGGTACAGAATGCAGCAGCATCACTTGATTTTGAGCGAAAATAATAGATACAATAACTAAAAGGGACTCATCCTCCGAGCCAACCACAACAATAACTCCGGAACCAGGCGTGTCCTGGGAGGTGCCGTCGCATCTTGGGCCTGTGCTTCCGGGTCGTCCGCGTGTATGAAAGCAACCAGATGGTCGAATAGCTCGTCTTCGCCACCCCTCAAGGGATCCTACGAAGCATTGTTGAATAATAAAGATCAAAGGCTCTACAAATGAGATTAAAAGCATAACACAGTACTCTAGGAATCATGAAAAAATATACTATTGACGGAAAATTATTTCAAGGACAGCCTTTATGGGAAAAAAAGAAGAGTAATGTTATATTTGTGCGATTAATTGCCAGGGAACAGAGAAATAGTAAAAAAATTGATTGGTAAGTTGGACTAAAACAACAAAGTTACAGGGACAGCAACCAGGTCCATGAAAATTTGAGGAGGAAACAAATCTTTGACTCAAATAAGAGAGGATTGGGGTGGGGTGGGGTGGGGTTGGGAGGTAAAGCAGAAAATTTCTGCAAATAAAATGACTCAAAAGAGAGCCAGGGAGAGTAGAAATGATTCAACATAGAAAAAAACAGATCCAGAGTAAGAGAGAGGGACAGCAGAGATAAATTCAACAGAGAAGATTCAGAGAGAGAGGGAAGGGAGGGGGGGCGGGGAGTTTCGTCATCTAGGAAAAAGTTTTCTGTTGACTATATTTTCCCATCGTCCAAACAACCTAAATTCGGGTAATGGTTTACTGGAAAATTGTCTTCTTCAAACAAACACAGCCTAATTACTTACATTGAAGTATCTAAGGAATTTTTTCAAATCTAATCGGTCTCAAACAGCGTTGAAGAGAGATTTTGACCTGCCTCTGTTTTTCCTAACTGTATGAAATAAACCAACAGTTTAACTCCTTTAACCTTGTTGTTTAGCAAGGAATAAAGAGAAAAAGAAGGCATTCTTGACCTTGCTATGACTGTTATATAGGAATAATGAGTAAAAGAAGCCGTTCTAGATTATATGTTCCTCCATCCCTGGTTGGAAAAAGATCGGAGGAAACTCCATCCAACCAGGAATGGATGGTCTCTATAAAATTGAAGACAACCCACAACTAGATAATTGAGCTGGTAAAAGGACATTTAAAGCCTCACTTACTTGGAGAAACAAATCTGTGTGTGTTTTCCCATCAAACAGCACTACTTCTGCTTTAGCACCTACATTTTGGAGTGTGGCCCCGAAGTTTTTGCTGCAAACAACAATAAGGTCGCATTTGAGAACCCATGAGACTGAGAATCAGGAAAAAGGACTAATTGAGCTTTTGACAGTTTGATCATAATTCAGGCATCATCTGCCAAGGACAAAAAAGAGTACATAATATTCTGGCTAGGACAACTCCAGTCATGGGTACTTAAACACCAAAATATAAATAATCTTTGTTATTTTTATTTTGTTTACAACCACTGGCACTGCTAAGTTGTTTCATGTGTGATGAAGCACTTGTGGTCGAGGGCCGGGAAAGTGATGTTTTAATTTTATGAATCGCGCAAGGTAGGTATGCACTGACGATATCATTAATGTTTCTCATTAAGAGATGCTGCCCGTGTGGAGACCTCACATCTTTCTTTTTAATTCATTGGAGTGGTGGAGGTGATTGAGAGTGAGGCTGTAAATATCTACTCTTTAAAGAACAGGGGTTTTTTCGACTGAAAAAAAAAAGGACAGGTTCCTATGAGGGTAGGGGATAACCACAAAATTCTACGTTCTTGTTCATTGCCACTGGTGCCTCTTAAATGAAACTTTCAGCAATCAAGAATGAAATAGTGTTCTGTAATATAAATGACCAATACCAGGACACATTTAATTTCCAGTTCGCTTTTAGGTCTACCTGGACTGGTTTTCCTAATTTTGCTTGCAAATCTATGTCTACACAAAGCAATCCCCTCATAGACTCAATACTTCCACACAGACAAGTGATATTCTCCTTAGTGAAGAGGAATAAAATGTGAAGAAAAAATATGGACCAGCTTTCACATGAGTTCCTGTCTCAACTTTAGAAATATAAACAAAGAAATTTCTCTCACAGATTGAAATAAAAAAAATTTAAGTATGAATTAAGTTTTACTTAGACATGGAATCAAGCATATGGTATTAGATAGATCTACAAGCATAATAGCTGCAAAGGACATGTCCAACAACTAGTTGATGATGTAAATAGAATTCAAACCTCGCATCTGATGGAATGGAGTAATCACCAGTTCCATGGAAAAGAAGAATTGGAGGCAGCAGAGAAGCAGCATTTCTAATGCTAGGGTCCTGCACCTTAACCTCAGGCGAAAATTGTTTAAATGATTTCTCACCCTCCATTATGCTGTGGTACATTTGACAAAAGAGTAAATAATGAGAAACCAAAAGCTAGAGTGAGTAAGAACTATTAAGTATTTAACAGTGGGCAGTACCAAATACCTCAAGAAGATGGAACGATATAGGCCTCGATTGTGAAAGTGATCGACCAAACTGAACAAATTGTACCTGCAAGACAATATTTAAGAAAACTATCACATTTTGACCAATTTCCCACTCTATCATCCACAAACTATAATTTATTTGACTTTAACAGCCCTAATCCTTCACAAAGTTCCTTCATAACACCAACTTAAAAGATCCTGACCAAACATATATTCATCTTTTCGGAAATGCAACTAATATTTGGACCATTGTCTTTTAATGCCTGGACTGAGAAGATGTGATATGGACACAGAAGAAGCTGACTATGCTTTTCAGAATTTGGGATTTCAGAAAGATGGAGCAGTCATTAGATATCGGTGAACTTTACTACTTCTTTCTCTAATATTTCATACTCAGGTTCCACCATGAGTACCAGCCATTTCTAGCAAGATCATAACAAGACAAGTGGACATTCGGCACAATGAATCAAAGTTGACATTTTCATTATTCTTGTTACTCTTGTTACTGCACTGCCTGTTGAGGATGCATAATATGATAAAATTAATGATTACAGGAATCCTGTCATATGAAATAAAAAGTACTTTAAGGTTCCTAGTGACATACCCTCCAGATAAACCAAAATATGCTTTTATCTGGGACAAACTCCAGGAAATGCTCTCTCCCCTGGATTCTTTGACTGCCTGGTCCACAAGAGCACAGGCGGCAATATGTGCACCAGCCGACTGTCCCATTAGGTAAATCCTGATCAGAGGGAGAACACAATGTTTGGGAATTAACCGTTAATGGAAGTTATCTTCCAACGGTTGCATCACTTGCCCAAGGCAAACGACTTTCATAAATAGCAATTGCAATAAAAATTAAACTTTTGATACTTTTAAACAAGAATTTACCATAACACATGATTACTGAGACATTTGGAACATACGATGTGTATGAGTGCATGTCGAAGAAAATTAAATTTTACCTATCAGGATCACCTCCATATTCCGCTATAATATTACAAACAAATGCGATTCCCTCTGATGCATCATTGACCATATCGCTTATAGTCCCCTGGGGAAAATTTCTGCAGGCACACATGCGCAATAATGATGTTGTGAAATTTGAAGTTTATTAAACCCAGCCAAGACATTAAGCCAAAATAGCACGAATAAAGAAACTCTAGATGTATCACCTGTAATCTATGCAAGCCACGATAATATCCCTTTCCGCCAATTGTTTACCCAAAAGAGCACCCCATGCTTTATATCTATCTCAGCAAAGGCATAGTGTCAGATGATGACATTTAATATATGTGCAATTTGCAATAGACATAAAGTTTGTTCTTTCTTACAAGTTATGATATTTCAACTTGAACAAATGATAAAGATCTCCAACAAGAAATGTATGTTGTGCCCAATATCTAAACCTATAATTCCCCAGAACTTTTTAAACATTGACTTGTTTACTCCATAACAAATGTCGAACCCAGGCTCCAGATTTCTCAAGCCATCTGCATTATGCATCTCATCAAGAGGAACGGAACCATTATCACAATTATTACGAAGTCACATAGTAAGAGCCTTTCTAATGACTATTGCCACTGCCACAACTCAAGAAGAAAATAGAATGAGATGATTCTAACATAAAAGAGTACCACTGAAAATGAAGTCCATTACATGATGTTGTATCCTACAACCTTAAAGCTTTTTTTAAGTAAGTTATCCTGACGGAGAAGTCTAGGATCTTCTATCTAGGGGCAACTGCCCTAAAAGCACCAAGCAATATGAAAAGTGCAAAATCAAAATGCATAAAAAAAGGGGCTGATCCAATTACCCAATAATCCATGCTCCACCTGTTACAAATGCCACCACAGGCTTTGGCCCATCCATATTCTTTGGCAGATGTAGATCCAACCTGTAAAATACCAACCAGGACGAATTTGTAAGATTTAATCGAACATTTAAAAAATGGAATGACAAAAACAACACTATATGTAATTATCCTGGAAGAACAATCAGGTACCTGTTTCTTGGTTGGTCTCCATAGACAATGCTACGCCGGACTTGACTTGAGAAAAAATAATAGTATGCCACTGCCAAATATCACAAGGCAATTATGTCCAGCTTGTCTGAGCACAATTGACGGTAGCTCACAAGTAAAGTACAGGCACAGAATCTAAAACCGCAAAAGATTATTGTGGTTTCTCAGCCATTTTCCACTAGTGATTGTGGTAATATGAAACTAGTGAAGAAAATATAGCTGTGAGGATCTCTAAGCATTCTAAGAATTTAGTTATGAGACAATCAACGAGCGCTAAGCCTGATAACCAAGAAGCAGGAAAGAGTACAGCACTATTTCACAGAATATTCCCAAAAAGCAGAAATGTGACTAGGTCGACGAGCAGAAATCAAACTCTCCACTACTTAACTTGGAAAACCCACTAGTCTCATCAGTCCCTTCTCATGACAACAAATCAAACTTCTGGAGGAACAACGAGAAGCCAAGAAGGTGTAGGAATAGAAAACTTTAGGATATGGACCACACACCTTGAAGAAAACCGGGCATAAGTAGCATTGCATAACAGCCAAGGGCTAGTAACTTTGTGATCCACCGATAGCCTACCCTGGACAACATAGATGATGACAAGCACTTTTATGAGAAAAAGCATACGGAAATAACAAACAAATCCATCTCCAACTAGGTGGAGTCGGCACTTAATGCTAGATGACAATATCAAAGCATAATGAATCTTCAAACATGAGAGAAGAAGGGGGAAGGAACTTTTTTCCTACCCTTGACATTTATTGCAAAGTAATTTTGTACCATCATCATACCATGGATAGGTACGTATGTTGCCAGTGAAATCACTTGAAAAGAGGGTGCATCAATATATATATATATATATATATATATATATATATATATATATATTGGTATATTGCATATAGTAAGAATATGCTCCTAGAAAAAAAATAAAAAAGGCTAGCATCGCAGTTGAAATATCTTGCAAACTTCATTTTTTTTTTTGTCATAATCTTGAAAACTTCATTTAATAGGCGAAGAAGCTACAGAATGATCTACGCAACAATTGCAGAATGTAAATACATGCTTCTACATGTTACTCTAACCAGAAAATCAAGCCCCTGCATCCAGTCTTCCCAGAATTTCCTAAACATAGAGGCAAAATTGAGCTTAGCAGACTCAGTTCCTCATTCCACTAAACTTCAACTTCAGCAAATTCGGAGGTTCAAATCAAATTTGCACGCACGAGTCGAAACCCCAAACAATAATCCCATTCCTACACAACGACGCATCCAAGAGCGAGACACCACGCTCAAAAAATGAACCGCGCAGCCGCATCCCCTGTAGAAGCACAGAGCACGGATCGTACCCGAGGTATCGCAGGAGCGTGAAGCTGAGCCGCGTGATCAGGTAAGTCTCCGCCGCGGCGTGGCCGATCTCCCGGCCGAAGGACTGCTGCCGGCCGAACCGGCCACCGCCCCCGGCGGCCTTCCCGGACGCGCGCCGGCGAGCGCTGCCGTAGCCCGCGGAGGGGCCGCCCCCGGACCCGGAGACCGAGGCTTCGGAGCCCAGCCCGCTCGCCGGATCCTCGCCTCCCGGGGGCGGCGGAGGCGAGCGAGGCCGATCGCTCTGGAACGCCAGCGGCGACGGCGACGACGCCACGGCTGGTCGCGAGGGTCAACTAGCGGCGAATCCGATCGGAGATCTGCGATCTCTCTCTCCCTCTCTCTCCGATTCCGAATGTGTATAGTTGTCAGTGCTGCTGCTTCCTTCTTCTTCTTTCTATCTTCTTCCTTCTTCTTCTTCTTCTGGTGCAGCTTTTCTCTGTACGCGCACTCGTGTCTGTGCGCCGGACAGCGGTTGAAACGCGGTCCATTTAAACGGTTATATCAGCGGAGGAGGGGATTCTCTTGGGTGAGGTCGAGTCCAGGATCCGGAGCGCTGCGATGCCGCCACCTGTCCCCTCCTCGTACTGGGCCCGGAATCTCGTGGGACCCACCGCGGCGGGGGGCAAATTTTGTTTGGTATTATTATATATTTATTTTTTGAATCGAAAGTCCCTTGTTTGCGTCCATTTTCGGTGTTTTCATTTGACTCATGCGGACTTAATTTTCTAATTATAATGTTGAGAGAGAAGAAAAAAAACAAGGGTTAATCTGACCGAAAAATGACGAAAGATTAAGCCGGAAAAATTGACTACAGACTTTGTATGAAGAAAGCGTACTAGGTAAGATTACTTAATCGTCCTTGCAGTGCAATAATCATTCACATTCTTAATCTATTTCTAAATAATGAATTTTACTATCGATTTATCTATTCGAAAACGGCCGATAAAATTGAATTCTACTATCAATTCACAAACGGAAAATTACTTGGGCCGTGTTGCATAATTGGACGTATCTCGTGTGGAGATGTCTAGGTTTACCGACGGCTAGTATTTTGGTGGGTCTGCGAGTTTGGATCTTCGGCCCGGGATTTCCGGCCAAAGGATGTTTGCTCCGGCATGTCACGATGACTATTGGGATAACATTTTGGACTCTTGCGCGAGGAGGGGGGAGGGAACATTGTGGATTGGTGATTGCACTTGCACCTGCTCTGTTTCCACCTCCGGACACTGCAATTCGATGAGAACGATGAGCGTGCAAAGGATAGCGAAAGGTTGCCGGAAAATACTCAAGGATTTGTCCATTTTGGTTTCCAATGCTTTGCTCGATGTATTGATCAAGAGGCGACGGAATTGCATCGGTACGTATTAGAGTACTTAAATATGAAACCACATTTTCATTTATCGATCTAAATTTTTTGAACGGTTGGTTATAATCTCACGAAATCTCACGTTGTATTAGAGCAGGAGGTCCCAAATTTCAATCTTTCCAAATTCATATTTGCCTCATCAATTACGTACACGCGGTCGTGTCTATGAGTTTTAATTTTTGGGATAGATACTTAAAAGAGAACGAGAAATGATTAATTTATTTCGAAATTTTGTTTGGAAAGAACGGAAAGAGGAGGAAAGCAATTAGCACGGGCTCCTCGAAAAGCACATGCCTCGTGGGGACACCCGGTTCGATGATGCAAGCATCGTTGGAAAAGTCTTAGATTGCCGCGGTGTCGAAAATGAATTTGAATTTGATTACCTTTTTTTGGTCGGAAATTTGAATTGATTTTTCTTTTTTTTGGAAAAAAAATTTGCATTGATTTTATTAGGCCAATAATTGCGAGCTCTAGGACTGCTTTTGAATTTTTTTTTTTATAAAAATTTTAGCTAATCTGTCTAAGGAATCCGAAACCAGGTGAATGAAATGGTTTTTTTTTTTCGAAAAATGAAATGGTTAATTGGGTAACTTTTCTTTTGACAATTTATAACTTTTTTGTGTTATCTATCGGGTGTATTCCTCAACTTTGGAGCTCCTCTAGAGGAGCTTGTCGACCCCTACTAGGCTCACTTAAAAACAAACCTCATAAATCCCCCTATTCTCTATTCGCATGTGGGAATGGTAGCCATTGACGGCAAACCCCCCCGTGGCTGGCAATTTACACCTTTAAGCTCAATCGAATTACTGTTCGTGAAGTCTCACCAAATTTTAGACAATCGACTACTCTCTTATTCGATATCCAAACACCGACGATTTATTTGTGAATTTAAAGGCTTGTGATCTCTCGTTTCGAGCTATGCACTAAACTGTGAAGAGTTTCAATTTTCTAATAGAGTCCGGCTCGATCTAGCCGTACTAATATATTGGCATTTTCAATTCGTGCCAATACGGACAAATGGAAGCACGTCACTCATGGTGATTAACATTAAATTCAAGGGGCGATATTTAATAGGGTTGATCGGTTTTTGATTGGGAAGGTTCTAGACTCGAAACTGGTACCCTATTAGAACCGATTCCCAATTTTTGAAATTTGGAACTTACCTTATTTGTCCTGGAACCTACTTTGTTTGTCTAGTTTGGTTCTAAGGTCTACTCGGAATCGGTTTCTTTCTTTCTTCTTCTTTTTTTGCTACATTTTTAAAAAAAAACCAATATAAATAGTAGTGACTATAAAATAGTAAGAGCAATAAAACAACATAAAGTAAAAAATCGGTACAAAACAAACATAAATATAAAAGCAATAGAGATGTTAAGTTCATTTAAGAAAAATAAATAATTTTCTTCTAACTTTAAAAAACAGGTTTCTACCGGTTCTCAGGCGGATGGATCGATAGGTTCGTTACCCAGAACTCGGAACCTATCGCATAGTACCGATTTTTCCACTGGAATTAAGAAACGGACCTATTTCTATGGAGCGGTTCAATCCGGTTTTCGAGTAGAACCAGGGCCGGTTGCACGGTCCTAATATTGAAGGTTCCGAACTCAATTTTTTGAGTGTCTCAACTCCATCTACGCCGAAAGCAAAGGAGGACAGATGACGAAGCCACGTTAGTTCCCGGCTGGCGACATGACAGCGACTTGCGAAAGTGAGTCACGTAAGAACTCGCCGGATCGCTCTGCCAACTCACTCTCCTCTATAGATAGAGTCGTGGAAGGAAGCGACGGTCCACTTCCAAGTGTTGGCAGGTTTGGGTCGCCAAGATTGCCAACTAAAGAGTCGCCTCCTAAGCAAAGGAAAATATAAATATATACAATATATATAGGGTAATATCATGAAAAAGCCTCAAATTAGTGCATCCGTGATAAATTTATCCACAAAAAATCATAAACTGATACATTTGTAACAAATTTATCCTCCATTAATTTTCGTTAAATTAGATTAATGCCATGAAAAATCACGAATTGGTATACCTAAACCCAAGTCACGTGTCATCTAATTAAGTAATTTGACGATAAAATATAACAGAAATTAAGGGAGGGTAAATTTATCACAGGGGTACCAATTTTGGGTTTTTCGTAATATTAATCCTAATAATCAACTTATTTTATTATTTTATTATTTTTTATTTCACAGTTTCTTGCTTCACGTTTTCTAATTGTGTATGGGTCTTGCTATTTCAAAAAATAATATTAGTAGGTCTTAGGACTTATCGGTTTTCCCATGTGGGCACATGTGCGGCATGATGAGGCACGCAATAATTTTGCCATGCAATAATATTATCCTCTTTATTTTATTTTTTCTCATTATCTCCTCTTTGTTAGGGCCAATTTTTTTGGCACGAGCTTCAATTATTTTTTTCATGTTTTTGTCAACTTTGAATTGTATTTTTAGATTTTAACGCATATCGAACAAACCCTCTGGCGGCAATTCCTTTGTCGAAAGTACGGTGCCCTCGATTCGATGGTGGACCGAGGGATCGAGGCACAATTAGTCTTTGAATTTTGCGAAATGTGCAACTCGGTCCTTGAATATTTTCGGCCAATTGGGTCCTCAAATTGCATGCCTTTTTGTTCGAGTTGGTCGGTCTGTTACAAGAGTAGATAGAAATGGTGTCCATTAAATTATCATTCAAAGCTACACACAGCCATTGTTGGCCAAAATGTATAATATGCACCACAAAAGTTAAATATTTATGAACCCATATGAAAGCAATTTATCGAGCACGTAACATGCATATAAATAAAAAGAGTAGGGATAGAATATTGCTCAGCCGATTTGTAGTGGTTCGGCTCAAATTGATGCTTACTCCAATACTCTGATCGGGAGTTACGCTCAATCCGCTAGTCAAAAGAGCTTGTACAAATGTTGGTTGTTGATGGAGCCAACGCTCCTTTACAACTTGGTTACAAATTACAACAATGATCATATTGCTTGTAAATGCTCTCTCTCAACCAGAACACATGTTCACTCGTTGATCTTGATAGCAAAGCAGGGGGTAAGAGTTGTGTGGAAGTTTTGAGCATGCAACTAGGTCACGTAATTAAGCAACCCCAAGAATCTAAAGAGACTTATTTATAGCAAAACGAACTTAATTAACCGTTAATCACACTTCGAAAAAAATTGCATTCATTATTAAAAAAGATACGTGAGAAGTGTATATATCGAAGAAGAGTAAAGCCCGGAATGTTACATAACAATGCAAAATCCAGAAAACAAGAATGATCAATATAGCACTAAAAGGGTTAAGCATACATACGTTCCTTAAGAACGCATCCGTCAAGTAAAATAATCAGCGGCCAATCATTGGATCTTGTATCATGGTAAATGATGAGTACACACAGGAAATTCTTTCTCCAATAACTACGACATTGCAATTGGCGATAAGGGTGAGCATGGTTCCAGAGTAGAACCTGAAACCTGAGAATATGATTAGTGGGAACCCGTAGGTTTCAGGTTTCAAGGTATGCAGGTTAGGTTACAGATTCCAAAAATTGAGGAACCTGTTTCGACGGTTAGGTTCCAGGTTTTAGGTAGGTGGAACCTGAAACCTAGAACACCTAGAACCTAGAACCTGGAACCTAAACAAGTTTTTTGTGTTTTTTTTTTGCCTATGTCTTCTCGTGATTTTGCGGTGTTTCATGGTGTTAGATTATGAGTGTATAATCTGGAACCACTAGTTTAAACTTTCATTTTATGACTTGTTAATATTATATATTCTTCGTGTGTCTAATATAAATTGTGGTTAGTGGATCATAGTAGAAAGTGATAGTCGTTAAAGATGATGATTCACTGCAATTATTCAATTAATAGTATAGGTGGAACCTGGGTAGACCCTAAAACTGATCCTCGAACTTATGATA